CGTGGTTTTTTGCAGTCTATAGACTGGTTTTGGTCTGCATCAGTTTTAACCGGTTTATGACCAGTCTTTAGGTCAATATTTTAAAATTATAAATTGGTAAATTTATTAACATTTCTATTAGCTTCAAAACGAGCCCAAGGACGTTAAATTCCGTTAGTAGTTGGTGCTTCTATAAAATAAGTCTGGTACATCTATTATTCCCAAAAGTAATTTACATTTTAATTCATATCTCTCTCGTTTTTTGACCAAATCGTACATTCTTGGGTGCGTTTTAAAGGGTATTTAAGGGGCCACAAAAGACCAGTCCAAACCGGTTAAGACCGGTTCATGTTAACCGGTTTCTTTGCAGTCTTTACATCTCAAAAATAAAAGACCGAACCACAGGTCCAGTCTTTTGCAGTCTTGGTCCGGTCTGGTTATGGTCTTTTTCCAGTCACAAGACTGGACTTCCAAATACTACATGCACAGCAAAGAAGAAAACACCCTACACACAAAACACAAAAGGGTGCACAACAAGAAGCAGAGAAAATGTGGGGAAAGAAATTGAGAAAGGAAGACTCACAATTTTGGCAACCTTTGTCGCAAGGTCAAAACACGTTGGAAAATCCTCCTTTTGAATGTGGGAATTGATGGAAGGGTGTAATTTTGAACCCTTGGAAAGGTGCCTGCAAATCCGGATTTTGTTGGGCATGCCAGGTTGCTGGGGGTTGGACGTTGACCACAAGTGGAGAAGAAAAGAAGGGGCCATGGAGAATGAGTTCCACCTCCTTACGAGAGAAGGGGCCTGACATCCTGCCAGCAAGAAGTCCCTTTTGGAGGTAGTCCTGTATGTCACACATATAAGAGTGAGTAGAAGGGTTATTAGGCAGAATAACTGTCTCTGTCAAGGCAGGCATGTGTCCGAGAGGGAAGCCATGCCTCAATTTTTCTGTAAGGAGGGGATAGGCCAAAGAGAGACTGTGTTTTTGAAGAAGAAAGTGGAAGGCCTTGACATTGTAAGGATGTGGAATACACTCAAAGATGGAGGAGTGTTGAGTGGTGGAAAGTGCAAGGGGAAAACGAGGAATGATGGAATGCGAAAAGTCGGTGTAAGAGAGAGAGGGGGGGGACACAACAGTGAGGAAATTTTCAGAGAGGTTTGACACAACAAGTCCAGGAGAGGGCATGATGTGATTTGCTGCCACAAAAGGAACAGAGGTGGAGGCAGTCATCACTATGGACGGAAGCACACTGAGAGGTGGTGTCAGGGCCTCAAATGTTCCAATTGATACAGAGGACCTGGTTGTCAGGCGTGGTGAGACCAAAACCTGGGTTACATTTGGCCCAAACAACCTTTCCATCAGCAAATTTTGCAGGAGTGGTGGACTTGAGGTGAAAGAAGACGGTGTGCCCCTTATATGTGCAGATAAGGCAGACAGCCAAGGGGGAAGACTTGCCGCTGCCTAAGGGAAAGGGCTGGGAGGAGGACTGTGAGGAAGAAAGGCCTTGTGGTGGAACCCTCTGGGAAAAGGTGGCACTGCCTCAATAAGGCGGGCCAGGCCACGCAACTGCCGGTTGTGAGGAATTCACAAATTCTTGAAATTCCTTGCAAAGCTTATGGCTTTCTTCAGTCAGGCCCAGAGCCTTGTCATAGTCCGTCATGCTAAATTTGAGGTGACAACTACAGTGGTCCTGTCGGAACTTGAGTTCCATGACTTTCCACGCATTGTGCAACTCATCTCTCTTGTTTAGCATGTTAAAAGAGTTAAAATGTTTCTTGAACCAGGTAGCATGTTCACCTTCACTACCCAGCTTGTCCCTCGAGATCTGAAAATTCCACATATTCACAGCAGCCTCGGACCATTGGCTGCAGGTGAGAGTGAGCTCCTTTCCAAAATGGTTAGAAAGCTTGTCTATATATAAGATGTAAGTCCCCTTGGTTTCCCCAGGCACAGGGTTTGATTTGACGGTGGGAAGTGTTGATGCCTCATCAACCAAGGGCTGTAGATTCCAAGTCAAAAAGAAAGGGAGTGGAACTGCCACACAAAGTTCAGTATCATATAGGGACTGTGGGAATTCAATAGAAATGGGTTCCCCAACCACTCTCTCAACATGGTTGGAACCATCCATACAACGCCTCTTTGAAATCCTGGCATCTTCTACCAGAGTGTCGTCATCCTTCTGTTTCTTTTCATCCTTATCTTTCAATTCTTCATTGGCAAGATGCTTTGTGAGGCTGTTGTAAACAAAATCACGAACAGAAGCAAAGAAGGAAGGGACCCTCAATCGGGCGAGATCTTCAGGATCAATTGTGATCAACAAAGCAGCTTCTGATCCCAGGTGAGGATGGGCAGTAGGGTCTAGAGTGTTGTTCAACATCTTGGCAGATCTGGTGTTGTTTTCAGCCTTAATTGTCTTATTTCTTTGTAGGATATTGGAAAGAGAGAGATTCTTCAATAGTTGAATAATTGCAGAGGAGGTGTGAGTGCGAGGAACACAAGGCTGCAGGTTCTGGGTGCCTTGGGCACTGGGGGCAATGGGCTGCACATTTTGGGTGGGATCAGTCAATGTGTTGGTCATTGCAGAAAATGCGAGGAATGTCAATGAGGAGTGAAAGAAGTTCGAAATTTTTTGGGAAGATGACTGACAAGTGATTTCTTAGTGTCAGAACCAGATCCAAAAGGTGGGGGAAACACTCCCAGTAATGTAGACATGTATTAGTATGTACGTGTATGTGAGATGTCTGGTTCTGATGCAGATGTTATCTTATCCTAAGATGAGTTTGCCATCATACCTCAGGCTTACTCATCACGGAATTGGCTACAAGACAAATTAAAGGATTACATAATACACATCAATGATCAAGAACACATCAAAAGCATACTGACTATGCAAGATCACATCCCATAACACCAAATATCCTGTGGCACCCTCATATACCTACAGAAGAGGTTACTTTCTTACCTCTAATGTCCCAAAATCTGAAAGCATGAAGGTTGACAGGGAAAGACTCTGTGGAGGTCACATGGAGAGGGTGCCATTGAAGAGGACATGAAGCCAAAGCCCAAGGGGGTCTGTGAGCTGATTAAGGTTGTTGCTAGGTTTCTTGCTCCAGGATATAAGGGAAATAGCAGGACAGGTACTTTCTGGGATGGACACCAACATGCAAACTGCAGGAGAGAACTTATGAGTCAGACAACAACAATGTCTGCATTAGATTTTGATATACTATATGTTACATGTTTCATACACAACTCTACAGGGTAGAATGCCTGAAATACCTTGAACTTTCATTTCAAAGTGGATGCAAGCGTGATTTGCCAGTTTTGAAGTGGCTGTGCACTGACTAAGCAGCACAACCATTTAGAGATGGTGCTAGTGTTTAAATGTCTGGTCCATAGGACTGAAAAAAACCTGTGGACCGAACTGAACTGGACCATGGACCAGTCCTTTTTTTGGTTGCAGTTGCCCAAATTTGGGGTTGGTCTGGTTGCTGGTTGCCTCATTTCAAAAATCTTTTAAAACCATTCAAAGACCAGTTTAAATTGGTTGCAACTGGTTAAATGGTCACATGCATTACTTAGCCTTGTAACCACGTTTATTACCTTTAATTGGGTTTTTGGTTCATCAAAAACGGTTAAGAACTGAGAAAGATATAACCAAATCCATTTTGGCACAAATACTTGTTTGTGCAACTTGTACCAGAATGACTTCAATTCTAACTCACTCAAACTTTCATCATTTTGCTTGATTCAATTTTTGGATATTGACATTTTAAGTATGAAAATATACTCACCATTTATCAATATATGGTATGCATCAAATAATTTACAGTTGCCACATTACATTTTGCCCCAGTCTATAGGAGATGTAATTTGGTTTCAGTCATAGCTATGTCAAACCTTCATTAAACTTCTTAAGAATTGGTGGAATGATGGGTATTTATATGTTTTACTATGATATATAACCAGTTTATGTTTTAGAGTAATAATAATTGAGATACAAATGGTTTATATTGGTATGACAAATTTTACGCAAAAAAACCGGTCTGAATCAGTTTGAATGCGGTCCATGGACCACAAAAGACCAGTCCTAGGTGGTCCGGTTCGGTTCCCTCAATATCTGGGTTGGTCCTAGACCAGTTGCGGTCCATGGTTGCCTGTTTTCAGGGCAAAAAACCAGACTGAACTGGACCTGCAAACACTAGATGGTGCACCTCTCCAGAAGGAGAAATGGTGACAGTGGTCACGTGCACAAATTCAAATGGCATACAAGACATGGTTTTTATTTTCTTGGCTTTCCCATTCCTTACTCCACAGACCTTTCCTTTCAACCTGGTGTTATGCCACCAGTGGTAGCTTTTACAGTTTGGGGAGTGCTAGTCTGCAGTACTTTACAGTGCCCCACCTATTCCTGCAGGAATCCAGTCATTCCACAAGAATTCCACTGGAATAGGACTGGAATCCGCAGTCCTTCCAAGCTGGCAGGATTTCAGCTAACTGGAATGAAAAAATTAGCAGGGCTGCCTACTAAATTTCATTCCACCGGAATGACTGGATTCCTGCAGGAATAGGGGAGGCACTGATAAGACCTCCCTGTGAATGGGAATGTGTTCCCCTGAGTTCTGAACAGGTGAAAGGGATTCTCAATGAAGTTTCTTTGCTCATACAAGTATGGTTGATAATTTAAAAATTCTAATAACTGGCATTGCACCATCTTACCAAGGAAATCATACAGAGTGCCGTACACCAGTCACACACTGTTTGTAAGCTGCACTTGGATTTCGGAAAAGAAAGACACCCCCTGAGGATAGTGACAACTCTGATCTTGAGGACCTTCCTTCCCTTGTAGATTAAATATTTCAAACACAAATTCCAGTCTTTTGTGCACATCACAGTGACCATGCGTACAAAAGTTCGTTACTTATCTAACTATCCTGCCTTATTTAGTAAATGGTGACCAAGTCACAGTCAATTTGACTTGACTTTTGACTTCTTTTGACTTGTCATGACTAGCATTGATTAGTCAATGACTGGCACATCACTGGGCATGTGGGAGTTGAAGCGTGGATTTGGCCAAGCATCAAGGCTCTGAGGGTCAAAGGTAGGGGAAGGAGAAGGTACTGCTGGGAAAAGTGGCACATCACCAGCACCAGTCATTGACAAAGGAGGTTGGGTAAGTGAGGGAGAGGCAGGGCAAGAGCTACTCAGTTGAGCAAGGATGGGGTTTGGGCATGTAGGTGTGGATGAAGAAAGGGCACTGGTATGGGTCCTGGAACCACAGCCACCCTTGGTGATACAATGCTTGCAACAGAAACAGCACCTGCAATCAAGCACAATATGTGACTGCCCACATCTGCTTATTGGGCAGAGAGGCTTTCCTGTAGGGGTGCTAGTCATGAATACACTTCCTCCGATAGCTTGTGGTGTGGCAGGGAAAGATGCAGTGGACCTGGAAGCCTGTGATGGCAGAGGCAATGAAGGCACTGGTGCAGTAGTGGAAGGTGGGGACAACAGTGATTTTGAATATGTGGCAGGGAGGAATCCAGAATGCCTGTGACGGTGCAGGAAATGAAGGTGTTGTGGTAACAGAGGGTGAGGACAATGGGAATTTTGAATACCCCTTCTTCCAGCAGAATGTGTTGCATCTCTTGCCTTTGGAATTGGGGCCTTGGCACTAATTGTTTATCATTAGCATCATGAACAAGATGTAATATCATTGAACTTACTATGGTGATGGGACAACCTTTATTACTGTTGGGCCCTAGTGTTTGGAAGTCCAGTCTCAGGACTGGAAAAAGACTGTAACCAGACTGGACCAAGACTGCAAAAAACTGGACCTGTGGTCCAGTCTTTTCATTTTTGAGAAGTAAAGACTGCAAAAAGACCAGTCCAAGTGAACCAGTCTTTTGTAGCCCACTAAATACCCTACAAAACGCACCCAAGGACGTATTAATTGGTCCAAAACTGACAAAGATATAGTTGAAGATGTAAAATATTGTTGAAAATAGTAGATGTACCAGACTTTTTTTATAGAAGCACCAATTCGTAAGGGAATTTAACGTTCTTGGGCTATTTTTAAAGCTAAGAAAAATGTTAATAGATTTACCAATTCATAATTCTAAAATATTGGTTGAAAGACCGGTCTTAAACCGGTTAAAACCAAAGAAGACCAAGACCAGTCTATAGACCACAAAAAACCACAGTCTGCGGTCTTTTTGCAGTCCGGTTCAGTCTTTTGACTTCTGGGAAAAAGGCAGACCAGTTGCGGTTACAGTCTAAGCCCTGGGGCATCAAAAAACCAGACCAGACCAGACTTTTAAACATTACCAGTGTTGGCATCACTTTGACACAGCTTGTAAGGGGTGAATCGACCACACTTGCAGGTTATACTGTCCAAAGGATCCATATCTACTAAAGAGAAGAGCGACTAGGTTGGATGGTGAAAATTGGGCTACATTTTGAAGGAATGTCAGGTAGCAATAGTAATGTTTGTGGAGAGGAGACTTAGCAAGCATAAGCTCAAGCTGGAGAGGATGGTTGTTGGCAGCAATGATGAAGGTAGATGGAGTTTGACATACCTGAAGAGCAGTGGGATGTACCCTTAGACGGTGTTGTTGAATGTCGATGGCAAAGGAAGGTGTGATGAATCAACGAAAGGCACACTGACAGCCAGCAGTGATGGAAAATGCCAGACAGCCAGACACCAGACACCAGACAGCCAGACACCAGACACCAGACAGCCAGACACCAGACACCAGACACCAGACAGCCAGCTTTTCCAAATTCGAGATTTTCTGCTCAATGCAAAGAAGTCAAATTCAAACCCTGAGCTTCACAAATATATTGCAATAAACTCTACCAGTGGCCCAGCCCTCATCATCAGGAAAGCAACTAATTAGCAGTCATTACACTGATCAAAACCAAGCAATGCTCTATAATATCCCTTTTCCACCTGAAAATATTTCAGTTGCAGGACCAAGAGAATAATATCTCAGGGCAGACACACATGCTGGATACCCAACAGAAAAATAAAAAATCTACACAGGATGGATAACACTAAAATACACTGATCCACTTGCCAAAACCAAAATTGTGAAAGCAATCATGTGCCTTCAGATGAGATCTTTTTTTTTATGGTGTGCCAGAGATGTTACATTTTTCTAAAGTGTAATGTGTTACAAGTGTAGTATAATCTTTAAAAATGAGTGGGAAATTTGAGCTAGCGTGTCACAGATGTAAAACTACTTATTACAAGCCACAGATAAATTGTATCCATTTAAGTTCTTTGAAATCAAACCAGATGAAGGTCAACCTATGGAGAAATTCTAATTTCAAAATTTATTTCTGAATCCCCTGTGATAGTCCATAGTCTAAAACATGCAGCAAGGAAATGTTGGAAGTGTGAAAAAAAAGGATGTGGAGGTTGAATTAACAAGGATCAGTGCACAAATTTCTGTGGTTCATGGGTTCAAAACAATGTGAAGGAAAGGATAGCAGACACCCCTCTTATCCTTGTGAATTTCTTTTGAGTGTTGAGAATGCTACCAAATCTACATAGTTTGATTTTTCACCATCAGAAGTATCATGAAAGAGTGGTATAACAATCAATGTATTTTGTGGTAATTTTCTGGAATTTTTACCAAGAGAAAAGTTACCAGGAAATCCCTCCTTTTTCTCTTTTTCTCTTTCCTTTTTGGGAACTTTTCTCTCTTTCCTTTTATACTCACAACCATGGTAACCGGGCCACACACAAGGGGCAAACTGCATTTGTTGCCTGGTGAAGAGGTAATAAAAAGGAGATAAATATGTTAAATACTCAATTCCACATTGGTGTTAAAAATGTATAAATAGAAAAGATTCATTGTTCATTCAACTTTGCAGCCACAAAAAGGTCATATCATGTATGTTAAATATTTATTGGTAGTTTGTTAGAGCAGGAATGACTGAGAAACAAAAGAAATTCTTGCAAGAAAAGGAAGATAAAGAAAGACCCTATTTTACCTGGGCAACAATGGTGAAGCAACTATTTAATGTCATTGAAAGGTCTTTCTTGGCACTGTAAAAAGCAATCAAGGAAATTAAATTTAACCCTCTTAAACAAAGGGACCCTGAGATAATTTTAATTCTTTGTTTCTGTTCCCTCAGGCCAGAAAGATCTTTCAATGTCATTAAATAGTTGCCTCATTGTTGTTGCAAAGGTAAAACAGGGTCTTTCTTTATCTTCCTTTCCCAGCAAGATTTCTTTTGTTTTTCAGTTATTCCTGCACTAACAAACTACCAATAAATATTTGACATACACATCATCACCTTTTTGTGGCTGCAAAGTTGAGATAACAATGAATCTTTTTTATTTGAACATTTTTCACATTAATGTGAGATTAACTATTTAACATAATTATCTCCTTTTTATTACCTCTTCACCAGGCAACAAATGGGGGTGGGCAATGTCACATCAATGTTTGGTGCATGATGTCACACTGTGTGACCAAAACCATCCAAAATGCTGACCCACAGATGTCCAAGCTGTTTTCGGGCATTCAGACACCTTCTGCCACAAAATTTTTGATACAATAAAATACTAGAACATACAAAGGCGTAATATAAGCTATTGTGGCATTTAAAAATACAGAAAATAGCTAAAGATCCTCCCAGTCAGGATGCTGATCATTGATATCCAAGGTCACCACCACTTGACCCTCCTGCCCCTCCTCCTCATCATCTGTGCTCTCCTCATTATCAATGTCATCTAAACCATCAAATTCCTCACCAGACTCTGTTGTATTTTGTCTACTATCAGTGGTGGGACCAGCATTTCTGTCCATATTTCCAGGAACCCAAGTACCATCAAGCTTCTCCTGAATATCCTGTTTTAGTGCTTCTCTAATAAGTCCAACCTTAGCTTTGGACTTAAGCTTTCCAGTGTTGGGTCCTTTAGCTGCCTTGAAGGCATCTAGTTGATCATGGAGTGTTTTTCCTTTCAGGCCATCAACTTTGGATAGATCAAATATTAGTTCAATATTTGATACTCTCACCGCCTTTTCTGCAGTCTTTTCTTGCCTTTTCTGTTGTTTCTCTTTTCTCAGCTGTATCTTTTTCTCTGCAGCTGTTATCAATTCTTTCTTTCTTTTTGCCTCTTCCCCTGATGAATCTCTGGCCAGTTTGTGGATGTATTTATGGTCTGGGTCAGTAAAAAAATTGTTCATGAAAGCTTCTGTCTTGTTTTTTTCAAACATTGCCAATGCATTGTAATGTAGCAGTGTTAACTGGGGCTGCCAGCACATAAGGACTCTGAAGGAGCCAAGTGCCCCTTCGTTTACATCATTTGTTGCAGGCATCCAAGCCAGATCCTTCTCTTCCACAGTGGCCTCATCAATTAATCCACCTGGAACAAATTCAGATGTAAATCTTTTCCATATGACCAGTGCACCTCTGAAAAATGCAACAAGTAATGTTTCCAAGTGAGGAAAAGAGGGTTTTATTTCATTTACTACATCAATAACCTTCTTTGAATGCCATTCCTTTCCATCAGCAGTTCCCATTTCATAAGTAGCATTATTTCCAAGAAGAAATGATGGATCTTCAATTATCCTCTTCATAAATGATGCCACTTTATGGTGTAGAGGTCCTAAATCAAGCATATTAACATTTGGGTCAGATCATATAGCCTTGGGGAATGGATGTGAGACTGCTTGTGCATACAAAGCCAGAACAGCCATTTCTGTTTTGGGGGCAGAACAATGCAAGGCAGTCTATAAGTTCTCTTCCATTTTACTAAATCTCATAACCTCTTTCTTCTCCTTGACATATGTTAAGAAATCAATAAATTTATCAAGATGCAAAAGCAAGGCTGCTGAAGCTTCACAGTATGATTGAAATCAATTCCCACCTTCTTTTTCCACCAAAAATGAAATGTGTTATGATGGCCTTTCTTGTCATTTTTATTGTTCAAGATTGCCCCTGCCAACTGTGCAGCCTTTATTGCACCCCGATCTGTCTTCTCAAAGGCTCGAGCTTCAGCCTCAGTCTGAGCATCCTCTGCAGAAGCAATGTCCTTTATCACAGCAGCATTATCTCGATTAGGAAGTAAGGCAGGACAAGGAATGTTAAGCACTGCATAACATTTTACAAGTTCTGCATAACCTCCTTGAACTATATTGAGATCCTTGTGGCAACCACAGCCCACTCAAATGAACAACTTCAAAATTCTTTTTTCTAGTGCAGAGTTCTCATGCAATGCAGTTTCTAGTTCTTTCTGAGACTCATCATAGAGCTTTTCATAGTTAAACTTGTTAGCAGGTGAAGCCTCTCTGGCAGCTGCCAGGTTTGCCTTCTGAGAAGAGGAACATCTAGGGGCCATCCTCTCAAGAAGTTATGAAGCCCAAAAACTCAGAAGTAAAGCACTAAAGCCCAGATTGCAGTCCCAAAGATATGGATCAGCCAAAACTATGATGAGACAGCTGGAATCAACCCAGAGACCACCAGGTCAACACTGGTCTTGCAATAACAAAGTATGGTATATATCTTCAAGTTATTGAAAGATTTGAATGCTGAGAGACCTACAAATCAGAATTGGGAGCTAGGTCAACTGAAGATCTGTCAAATCAGACCCTAGTAGACTACCAATAGTCAGAATACTTACATATGGGAAGCAATATGCAAGAGATTTACTGTCAGATGTGAGGAGATGGGATGGAGTGTGTGTTGAGGAAGAGAAAGGACTCTGAGGAGGTTTATGTAATATACTGTGACCCAATTGGTGGCTGTGCACCGCATTTTTGGGTGGTTTTCCAAAGGTTGAAGTAGACTGGCTCAGCCACACATTATTGGGGTGTGGCTCAATAACAAAATATTCATATAAAATTAATTTGAACAACTTGTTCTTGATAGAATCATTTTTTTTGGTCTCAAACTCTCAAAACTGTGAAATGCGGCCCCCTTTTGAGTCCTGAGTAAGAGGGGAAAAAGTGGGAATGATTTGGTTGCAAGGCTCTAATATTATAGTGAATTTTAGAAAAAGAATTTCATCACCAAACTGATTTGTGGAGGAATGGCATGATGAAGAAGTTTGAGCCATCAATTTGGATGGATTTGGCAGGGGATTTGGCAGTTCCGGGATTCTGGGCACACATAAAATTTATTACATGCTTGTACATGAAAGATTTACCCTAAGAAGGAACAAAGCACACTGCCATCAAGGAATCCGGATGTTGTAGAAGAAATGGCAGATGTGGGAGGACCCCTGAAATCTCACCTAGATGCCTGATCCTTGGTGGTGAAAAATTTCCCACAAATTTTGGGTTCATCTGTGCATCATTTGGATAGTTGGGTGTCCTTTTTGAAAAAAAAAATCTGATGAAAAAGGCCAATTTTTGTCTGAATTCTGCCCAAAAGTGAATTTTCTATCTTGACAGTAAAATGGACCCTGAGGGCCCATTTCTCAGTCTTTTTCTCCAAAACTCCGCCTATGGCTTCCTTTCATGTATGCGCTCATCTTTCATTGGCATGCCAACACAATTTTATGTTAAAGTAGTCCGCCAGTGTGCCATTTTTGCTCAAAATGGCCTAAATAAGCTCAGATCAGGCATTTTAGTGAACTTTCAGGGGTCCTGATGTGGGTAAATGGTTGAAGTGCCGTGACACAGGTGACATGCCGTCACAGGCTGTCACATGCATTCTTGCCCTAAAACGAAGCGAGGTACGAGTGCAGGGTTAGGGCACAGTCTTAGTATAGGGCGTGTGACAGTCTAGGTAGAAATCACTCTCTCTTTCTACCATGACAGTCACCACCCCTCTGAGGTCATCTGACTGGCCAGTTCTTTTTCCCCACTCTCATTGAGCACCAATCCTTTAAGACACCGTACTCTCCCTATATCCTTGATACAAGCCCATTAATTCTCACCACACAGATGCCACATCTTATGTTGGACCCGAATTTGGAAGTGAGGCCGGATTTCACGTCAGCGGCATATGACGCCCTATGCACCGCCCTCGCTGCAGCAGAAGGAGTCGACAAGGGGGCCATTGTCGCCCACCTCTCTGATGCCTGGAACATCGAAAACGACGCCAAGAAGGCCACGTGGGACGAACAAGTTAGGCAGGACAAAGCAGAAGAAGCTGAGGCAGAGCTCGCCCGAGAACGCGAGCAACAGCTCAAACTCGAGGAGCGCAGAAAGGTGGAGGAGACAGAAAGGAAGGAGAAAGAAAAGAAGAAGCCGAAGCTCAAGAACTTTGTCCCCAACAAGCTCGTGGGGAATACCGTGCAGCTTCGCCCCTCGCACTACGCCATCCACAAGCTAGAAGAGCGGGAATACGTCGAGCTCTATTATTTCACCCAGGATGGATGCATGGAAGCCTTGAAGATCGACCACACCATCACTCAGGACGCATTCACCTTCACCAAGGCCGACGACACGCTTCTACTGAAGCCCATGGCCTCACACAAGCCATCCAACAAAGCAATCCCTGACAAGCATCTTACCTGGCGCCAAATGTCACTCGCCAAGACCACGCTGCTGCACCACATGTCCCAGGCAGGATGGCCCGAGCACCTCATCATCGCCCTGGCTGAGTTCTACCTCAATCTCAAGGGCCACCCCACGCGCCACGAAGTCGACGGAGACACTGTTCTCCTCCACTACCAAGCCCAGGTCAGGCGCGAATGGCATGAAGCCCTCAGGGGCGCTGACGACAACAATGTCTTTGACATCAGCACCATCAATGACAGGCATGTCGATGCCATTGGGTCCCAAATCTGGAATGCCCGGCGCAATGAAGGGGTACTCAGGTTAGTGCACCCTTCTGTCCTTGAACAGCCCACCAGAACTAATGTCCGTGTTTCACCCCTTTCACCCCTTGACATTTACCCACCCCAACCGTACACCCACCTGCCATCGTACGCACCATGCACCTTGCACCTGCTCCCCGTGCTATGCGCCCCATGCCTGTGTTCGCTATGCACCATGCACCCATGCATCACATGCACCCACGCACTGCGTGCATCATCTTGTGCCACATGCACCATGCACTCCCATGGTGCCTTAACTATCCACTGTTGTGTAAATATGTGCCCTTGCCCATCATTGTACATACATACATGCCCTTAACTTGTACATATACACATGCACACTGCTTTCTGCCTCATGCACCCCCTCTGCTTCCTCGTTTGGCTGACATCAGGCTTGAAGAGCAGATGTCCAAGACCTCTGTCTCAGACCACACACAGGCTTCTTGCACACATGGCCAGAAACGCAGCTGCTCCCCTTCGCCCTCCCCAAATCAAGGACCCAGGGGAAGGAACAGGCACCTTGCCAATCGCATGACAAGACGAGGTTGCCGATCCCCCAGCCCCCCACAGCAACCAAAGCAGGCCTCTCCAACCAGAGACACCAAACGTTGTTGTGTCACAAAATCTGGCACGGGGTTTTTTCAGGCGGGTGCAGCTGGAAATGGGGCCTTCTCCGCCTGCACCATCTGTCTTGGCTGTGGCCCCCACAACATCTTCAAGTGCAAGTCTGACACCCTGTGGGATGGCACCCCCGCTCGATGCAAGAAGAACAGCAATGGCCGCCTTGTCAACCCAGCAGGCAACATCCTATGCTCCGACTGGCAGCAACCAAATGGCTGCTCATCCACCACCCATGACTCCCGTCACGAATGCTCTGGATGTGGACAATCAACTCATGGAGCTCAAAACTGCCCTCGAGCTCAGAAAGCTTGATGCAGCTTCACCCTACTACCCTGAGGTGTGGCGTCGGCATCTTCTTGCAGCAGGTCTACAAGGAAAATACCCCAACATCCCCCATGGCCTCTGTTTTGGCTTTGATGCAGGCATCAGACACATCACCCACACCTTCGTCCCTCCTAATCGACCCTCTCTCTACGAACACCAGGCAGAGTTTAACAAGATCGTGCACACTGAGTTTCAGAGGGGCAGATACGTTGGCCCTTTCACCCAGGCACAGGTTGAATCCCTGCTGGGAGTGTTTCACATGTCTCCTCTCAGCATCATTCCGAAGCCCGGACAGCCAGGCAAATTTCGCATCATCCAGAACCTTTCCTCCCCACATTCCCCTCAGGGGCCCATATCCTCCATCAACAGCTCCATTGACTCAGACCTGTACCCCTGCACCTGGGGTACTTTCTCCACCATCTGCCTGCTCATCTGGCACCTCCCCCAGGCTCGCAAGCAGCAGTGCGTGACATCAAGGAGGCGTACAGAAACATTCCCATCAAGCCTGAACAATGGCCAGGGCTGGTTGTCCGCCTCAACGAAGACAATAGCTTTGCGATTGACACACGAGACTGTTTTGGTCTGGCTTCTGGGGGAGGCCTTTATGGCTGCGTGGGTGATGCAGGAGCACAGATCATGCGCCACCGCGGTATTGGTCCCCTCTCCAAATGGGTGGACAACCACATTTTCTTTCGCATCCTCCGCTGTCACCTCGACAAATACAATGCCAGCCGCAAACAGTGTGCATGTTGCATCACTGAGAATGGGGGCGAAATCCATGACGGAGGACGCCTCTGGTTCAAGGGCGACGTTATGCCAAATGACCAACATGAGGAGTTCAATGAAGATCTCTCATGTGCTATCCAAGACCTCTCACAAGCTTCAGACAGGTTTGTCATGTCCACTGGCACCAGCTAACCATGCCCTGACCACACCAACAGATCCCCTGAAGACAGACAGTTTACATACTGCATGGCGGACATCGACGCCTCATCCGACGAACTGGGCATCCCATGGGAGACCAAGAAGGACATCCCCTTCAGCTTCATTGCCCCCTTCATCGGCTTCTCCTGGGACCTCACCAATCGCACAGTCAGCCTACCAGAGAGCAAGAAGGCGAAATACCTCCAGGCCATCCTGGAGTGGGAATCCAAACCGAAACATACGCTGGATGAAGCACAGAAGCTATACGGAAAATTTTTACATGCCTGCCACGTTCTACCTGCTGGACGCGCATACCTCACCAACCTGGAAGCCTTCATGGGAGTATGCCACCGTGACAGTCCTTTCCACCTGCGTTCACCACCCCACAGAACTCTGAGCGATCTTCTCTGGTGGAAGAAGAGACTCACCCAACCAACCATCATCAGAGGCATCCCTGGACCTTTCCCCATCCTTGACACCAACGCTTACTCAGATGCTAGCTCTGAAGTTGGTATTGGGATCACGGTGGGCAACAGATGGAGAGCCTGGAGGCTCTTGCCAGGGTGGAAAGCCAACAGCAGAGACATTGGCTGGGCAGAAGCAGTTGGCTTTTGGTTCCTCATCCTCACACTTGCACCAACAACGCCAAGGGGAACTCAAACCAAGCTTTTCGGAGACAACAGAGGGGTCGTTGAGGGTTGGTGGAAAGGCAGAAGCAGAAACAGACCCACGAATGACGTGTTCAAGCACATCCATGCCCTTTCAGAAATGCAAGATATCCTTTTCCACACAAGATATGTTCCCAGCAAAGAGAATCCTGCAGATGGCCCTTCCTGGGGAGAGCACTATCACAGGTCCCTCCTCCTCCCTGCCATCGTCATCCCTCCATCGATCCAACAATACATATGTGACTTTGATGTGCCTCTCACACCAGCTGAGTCGCTCCTTCTACAGCAGGGGAAAGCACCCACTCCCCTCCCCAGGGCTGACCACTCATCACTACAACAAGAACGGACAACCATCAATGCCGCACTCGAAGAGCACGCCAGAGCCACCTTCGCCCAGACAAGGCAATGGCTTGACAGCTAACTGTTTCCGCCGTGTAGTCACACACATACCCAAAGCAGCCAAACCTGCACGGTACGCCAAGGACCTATGTCCTCTCCCATCTGTTAGACAACCACACGTGCTCGCTAGCGAGTGTCTACAATGCTGGACCCCACTGGGCGGGCGTGAGTTCGCCATGAACACTCCCTCGAGTTTAACCCCAGACGATATCCGACAAATCACCATCGTTATGGGAAAGTCATGGGAGGAATCCACCCTAGCAGCGTATGGTTCAGGCCTCCTGAACTTCCACGTCTACTGTGACCAGAAGGGCATTCCAGAGGATCAATGTGCACCAGCCAGCCCGCTCCTCATTCACACCTTCATCTCAGCACTCGCAGGTGCTTACTCCAGCAGCACCATTGACAACTACGTCTATGGCATCAGGGCATGGCACCTCATTCACGGTGTCAAGTGGCAGATGGAAGTGGCTGAGCTTGAGGCGCTCCTCAGAGCCGTGGAGAAAACTACCCCAGCCACCTCAAAGAAGAAGAAAAGGGTACCCTACACCCCATCTTTCATACTTGCAGTAAAAGGGCAACTGCAGCTGGACAAACCACGAGACGTGGCCGTATACAGCTGCCTCACCACTGCTTTCTATGCCACTGCCCGCTTGGGGGAATTCACGGTCCCAAACCTCAGGGCCTTCGACCCAAGTGCACACGTCAAACCCTCTGACGTCCGAATTGAGCATGACCGAAACGGTCTCCGCTCCACCATCTTTCACATCCCCAAGACCAAGACCTCTCCCCAAGGCAAGGACGTCTCCTGGTCCAAGCAAATGGACGGCACTGACCCAGAGGCAGCCCTCGCACACCACCTAGCCATCAACAAGCCCCCTGCTGATGCCCACCTCTTCTCCTACCTCAAAGACAGCCGCTTCTGCCCTCTCACGAAAACAGAATTCACTCGCACAGTGGCAGAAGCTGCCAGGAAGGCAGGTCTGGACCCACGTCAAGGGCATGGCATTCGCATCGGTTCGACACTGGAATACTTGCTGAGGGGCACCCCTTTTGAGGTCATGAAGGTCAAAGGCCGTTGGGCCAGTGACGCCTTTCTAATCTACTTGACAAAACATGCACAGATCCTCGCCCCATACATGCAGGCAGTCCCAGAGGTGCACGAAAGTTTCATCAAGCTCACCATGCCACACATCCGGAGGTAGTGTGCTTTCCACTCCATGGTAAGTCACCCCTGCCCTGCTCCTAGTGTTGTGGTTTCCGAGTAGTGTTTGAAAGTTAGGTTAGTTAACCAGAAAATAACCAGAAAATAACCGGACCTAACCGCAACACTAACCTAACCGCAGTTAGGGTTAGTTGATTTTGAAAATGGAATAACCAGTTATTTTGTGGTTAACTAACCGTTAAATAACCAGTTATAACCAGCCCTATGATACACCTTCAAAACGCACTTGAGAACATCGAAAACGCTTAAAATTTGACTAAGTTACGGTCAAATCTCTAAAATATCACTCAAATGTGTAGATAATTGCATAAATATGTCAATTCTTCACCGATTTTAGCGTTCTTGGGCTCGTTTTAAAGCTAGAATATGCAGAAATAATATCTATCAAGATACATATGACCATATTTGCCTTGTTATAACCAATTCTTTATTTTTCGGTCCTAACCGGTTAGTAACTGCAAATAACCGACCGTAACCGGTCCGGTTAGGTTATTTTAGGTTTCGGGACAAAGGCTAACCGGTCTCGGTCTCGGTTAGAGCCCCTGGGCACCCAATAACCGGACCTAACCGGACTTTCGAACACTATTTCCGAGACTCGCTCGACGCGTCGCAGGACTCCTAACTCTCGGGAATCGCAGCTCATCTCGTTTTGCCCACAGTTTTTGGATCACCCTGCCGGGACGGAAAGCCTCATGGCTTTCACCCATTATCGCTTGCTACGCTTCCGTATCTCTCGCTCTCTTTGCAAGGACATTACCACTACCTACCTACCTACTGCCTCTCCATGCACGTAATGTGCTTGCTCTGTACCCTAGACACCCTCAGCCTAATACAAAGATTCTTGCCCTGAAACGAAGCGAGGTACGAGTGCAGGGTCTAGGTAGAAATCACTCTCTCTTTCTACCACGACAGTCACCACCCCTCTGAGGTCGTCTGACTGGCCAGTTCTTTTTCCCCACCCTCCACTCCCAAAAGAACCTCTATCGGCATCAGCCTATCGAGCACCCGCACGCTTCCCGCGCAGGAGGACTCCTCTGCTCTGAAGCAAGACACACGCTGCACGGGTGAGTTTATCCCACCCACCTTCGCAGCTCATCTCGTTTTGCCCACAGTTTTTGGATCACCCTGCCGGGACGGAAAGCCTCACGGCTTTCGCCCATTATCGCTCGCTACGCTTCCGTATCTCTCGCTCTCTTTGCAAGGACATTACCACTACCTTACCTACCTACCTACTGCCTCTCCATGCACGTAATGTGCTTGCTCTGTACCCTAGACGCCCTCAGCCTAATACAAAGATCAAGCATTGCCCAAGATTGCCCACCCCCACGACAAATGTGGTTTGCCCCTTGTGACATTGGACCCTGCCTTAAGTGTTATCAGGCGCCAGGACAACTGTACAATGAAATGTCGCATGACAAGCTTCCAATTGAAGACCTCATGAAAAAAACGTGTATCAATTCGCAGGTACGGAGACGGTGGACCGCCATGAAGCTCGATAGACGCAATAACCTGCTTCTTCTCCGTCATTTGTCTGTAATTGCTCCGGACGTTTGTGCAGTGATTTCCAAGAAAAGTGAGCCCGTCCTATTAAAACTCCGGAACGTACGGACAAGGGGATGCTCTTTAGGACAGGAATAACGGCGGGAAAAGCAGAACTCGAGGTCAAAAGTAGTACAGCCTGAAGAGAAACACGTTGCGGCACCGGATTATCAGTTATAAGGAAAGCTTTCGACCGATTTCCCAGGTTCTGGGTCTCTCCTCGCCTATATATTGGGATCCGCCGTGTGGACCTCTGTTGGTGCTACACTACAACTATCCTGAGCAGCGCAGCAGAGGCCAGGGATTCCTTGCGCTTAACTATCACCTTCTACTATGGCTCCGCTACACCAGCCACAAGACAGGCAGAAAGAAAAGGCGAGTGATGCTATTCGAGCGGCGTGGAATGTATTCCAAAAAGAGACTAGAGAAAACCGAGGAAAGGGGAACGGCAGAAACCACGTTCAAATGAACCCTAGAGAACTGGAGACCATTTTCCGCAAGGATGCACGACGAAGGTGGCGCAGTGTCCTCAAAGACCATCGAATGGATGCTGGGGCATGGATAATGACGGACACGGACAAGAAGGGGGTTGGCAGTCTCCTCGGCTGGAACCAGGACCAAATGGTCGCTGCTTGCGAGGAGGAATGGGGCATTTCTGTGGTGAGTGCAGCTTTGTACATGAGGTTGCACGGAGCTGATACTTTCCAAGAACCCAGGGAAGTTGAAGCCACTCATCAGTAGAATCACAACCCCTTTCACTTTCACTTTCAGGTGCTTTCACTTTCACAACCCCTTTCACTTTCACTTCCAGGCACTTTCACTTTCACATCACTTTCAATTAACTTTCAAGGCACCTTTTCCCGCCCTTTCGGGTCTTTCCCCCTTTGGACCTCTTTCAAATTTGTTGATCAATATATTTTATAGGGTAGCATTCGGGGTGAAGATCTATCATCTAATAATGAATTTTCAGTGAGGATTAAAGAGGTAGAAGATGTGTTTTCCATGCCAAAATCAGAAGAAGACTTGTTGACTGTCGATCACGCGACATGTTGAACATCCGAATTTGGAAATTTTTGGACTTGTTAACTTTTCCGTTACACCACGTCCAGCTTCATCTCTCCCTTCCCCTCCTCTGGCGCGCAATGTCTTCACGATTGGGTATGTGTCTGGCCAGCACAAATCCTTTTATGATGACATCGACGTGGCTTATCGCCGTCGTTAGGTTTGATTCCAGAAGCAGCAGCCCGCCTCACCCAAGCCCCGCCACTCCCGTCGCATCACAAGCCCATGGTGGTTTCAGCTACCAGCAAAGTACACACCACGCCACTCAGGTCGCTTCGCCCTTCCGAAATGAAAGTCGCACAGGCGAATGACCAGCGTGCACTGCACAGATCCCGTTCCTGGCCTCACCGCTTGAGGCTGTCCCAGAGTCGGACAACGAGGAAGAGAAACTGACTATTGCTTACGTTTTGTAAGTTTCTCCTCTCTTCTTACTGAAGGAGGACTGATAGTTCATGCATAGCCCTCCGTAGGGTTTTGCACGACCGCATCTACAACTACGCTCAGCACTGACCGACCTCGCACCCTTAGACCCCGAGCATGAAGCCTTCTCCCCTGATCCGAACCCGGGGACGCGCATCATGGTGGAGGTGCGGGATATGGATGGGGTGTCGTCGCTTGGTTGTTTGTGTTCCCCTCATCTGTGAGTACGCATTCGCCTGACTCTGGCCATTCTTCGTGTTATTCATTTCCAAGTACAAGGGCCTCCTGCACGTCAAAACTTCAACTTGGCGCAGCTTCAGCTTTCTCACTGTATTGAAGGTGCTCCTGACCTTGGTGATGATGGACGACGTCTCTTCGCATCTGGACAAGGCGGCCTGGTGGGTGTTTTTTTACCACTCGGCTCTACCCGCGACACGTCAAGCCTGCACCGTCTGGCTCAAAAAGCACGTTCGCAATGCCTACTCACTCGAAACGAGCAGACGAGCAGATGCCGTGGAATGCCTTGGCAACTACTAGACGATGACTCGTCCTGAGTGCGTCCTTCCTTCCTCTCCCCCCTTCCTTTCTAACTCTCGATATCCATCCAGCTGAACAACTCCGCGCAACGTCGAATCTGAATTACACAACTCCCCAATCGCAGCACAGCAAGCACGGCGGGACTATGGTCGAGCTTTGCAGTGGGTCGGCGAGACTGTTGCGGCAATGGTTCCCCAGGCCACAACCCCTTCCAGCGAGTCTGATTTCGAGTTAGTGAGGACATATTAGAGGGTTAGCGTCATTCTAGTAGTAATTACTACCATTGTTTCTGTCAAATATCAGAAATCTATTCACTTTTGCCCGCTTTTAAGCCCCTTTTAAGTCACCTTTTGAAAGCTGCACCTCTTTCATGGTCCCCTTTTGAACCACTTGCAGCCCCTTTTGTCCCTTTTGAAAGCGGAAATCCCATTTCAAACAATATGGCCTGGGCTTCCAAAAGCGGAAACGCTTTCATGCTTTCACGCTTTCAAAAGCGGTGAAAGCGGCTAAAGCCGGACTTGTAATTTTACTGATGCTGGACGTGAGTCAGAGCCTTCCTGGACCATCTACGCAGAGCGTTCCCGGACTACCTCCAGTAGGGCGAACACAAACAATTGTGCGGCCTCAACTCCCTGCGCGGCAGCCGCGACTCCATGATTTGCTTGCCCCACAACCATATACGCAATCCAGCGGCGTTAAGTTTTCAGAACATCCCGTGCCCGCACAAGCTCAGCGACCAATTTTGCAACCACGACCTGTATACGCCTGGCATTTACAACCTCAAGACTCGCATGCCTCACAGGCATATACATGGCGCAGTGGTGTTAAACATTCCGTGCCCTCACCAATTGTGCCCCGACCTGCAGCCGCCCCGTTGCAACTCCAATATTTGCGTGCCTCACAAGCATATACACGACTCAGCAGAGTTGAAGTTTCAAAACATCCCGTGCATGCTCAAGCTCAGCTTCCGCGACATTCACCTGGTCCATCACAAATGATACGGTCAAGTTTGATTACACAATCATTGCGCGTCCCACCACCTCGCCAGTTACGACCTTACTTTGACGCGTTGTACAGCGACGAGGAAGGTTATGTAAGTGACAGTGAAAGAGGGTGGCCTCGTCAGGAGGAGACACTAAGTCGACGAGTTACAGCAAGACGGAGGTTATTTGACAGGAGGAAGAAAAGAAAGCAGCTGGAAAAGGAGGAGAAGTTGAGAACGAAAGCGGAGGGAGGCGATTACGGGACAGATGAGGCCGACGACGAGAAGGAGGAGAGGCGTGGAAGGGGCAGGAAGAGGAAGAGACCGGGAAGAAGGGAGGGTGGCTCAAAGAGAAAACAGGCGGAAGACACGAGACAAGGTTTCCAGGACTGGAATTCAAGTGGTTCGTATTCTCAACAAAGAAATTCCTTCCCTTCCTGAAGTCTTCTGACCCTCACTTTTGCAGATTGCTTCGGCCACATTTACTGCGACGGCCTATCGACGACCAATCCCATATCTGCTGCTCTGCTGCAGCGTGCGCCACTCCCAGATGACTCTGTCCCTCATTCCGAAAGCATTCAAGAACGCCTATGTCGACTTGATAAAATGGACCTGTCCGAGTCCCGCATTTTGCTTCTCGAGAAGATTCATCAAGAAATGTGGGCCCAGTTGGCAACCATTGTGTTTATCAAGTGGGATGACCTCCCGTGGCCAGTATTTGTTCGGACGACTTGCCCAGAGGATTTGATGTTACACCGAATCGTTTCATATTTGTTACAGGTTTCGAGCGGAATGGATATCAAGGCAGCGCTCGTGGATTGTAACCGGCTGCAGTGGGCTCAACAACGTCTTCGGATTCTTCTCGGATACTGGGAACATCCTAGTTTGAAAATGAAAATTGAAAACTCTGCAGACAAGACTATGATACAAGGCGTAAACGTTGTTATGAATCATCTCGAAAGCGTTCTCGATTTTGTGAACACGCATCTAATCGACGAAACGCATCATACGGATTTGACTGCAATCATTTCTCAAACGTTTCTCAAACACGTTGGTGAAAATCTGGCTCGAATCCTTACAGACACATCGGACAACTCTGGTTATAAGTCTCTGCTCAAGCTTGAGGGCGAGAGCGCTCAGAAGATGCTAAATTTTCTGCAAACGGTACGTCATGTGACTGCTCAGTATCAACACGAATCTCATTACTCCAAGTTGCTTGATTGTTCGGAGCTAGTTTCTTTGCCAAGGAACGATATTTTAGGAGCGCTTCTGCGACTTTCGAAATTATCGAAGTTGTATCCCGAATGCCTGACTATAACGGATCTTGAACGGGACAGCGACGTTTTAGACTCGGGCCGCTTTGGCGAAATCTATAAAGGTCGTTCCCGCAGCCAGGCTATTTGCTTGAAAATTATCAAAGTAAATCGAAGGACGCAAATCAAGGAGCTGCTGAAAGTAAGTCTCTATGCCCTGAATAACCGCAAATGTCTTACATCACAGGCTTTCTTTAAAGAGGCCCTACTTTGGGGACATTTGTCCCATCGAAACATCCTCCCTTTCTACGGAATTTATCATCCAGAAGATACGAATGGAAGAATCTCCTTCGTATCTCCATGGATGGAAAACGGAAACGTAACTGAGTATCTCAGGAAGCATCCCCTCACGAACCGTCTACTTCTGGTAACACCTCAATTTTTCTTGGTTGTTATGTAAGAACTAAGGGACCAATTTCTTAGATATGGGATATCATAATAGGGATTCAATTCCTCCATCAGAATCAAGTCATACACGGGGATCTCAAAGGCGTAAGACCTTTTTCTTCAGTAGTTGTTCGGTGTTTACTAATAATTGGTTTCCTTTCAGTTGAATGTACTTGTGAATCGTAATGGACGCGGTTGCCTCGCCGACTTTGGATTGGCCAACCTTGTTGACGAAGATATCCTGTGTTGGACTTCAATTCAGACTACAGGACATCAGAGCGGTGGGACATTGCGATGGCAGGCACCAGAGTTGATTAACCCACCTTCTGACGAATCGGCCAAGGCGACGCCAGCCAGTGATATTTATTCTTTCGCATGCGTCTGTTATGAAGTAAGCGATGTCGGCATCTTAAAGACCGGATTGTAGAAGGTACTGATCACTTATGAAGATTTATACAGGACATCTTCCTTTCCATAAGTTCCCCCGCGACTGTACCGTCATGATGAAAGTGCTTGAAGGCTCTCGGCCACCTCGTCCAGCCGACACAAGCACCTTGTCTGACGAAATTTGGAAGTTGATCGAAATGTGTTGGAATCAAGAACCTCAAGACCGTCCCAGTGCGGAATTGGTTATAGAACAACTTCCTCTTGCAGGCATTGTGGATGATAGGCCAAGTGGTGGTGACCACTTGGCTCCCCCCGACTTTCGCGCCGGTGGCCCCAAAAACTTGGGTGTGGTATTCAATCCAGCAGTTGATATCATCCTCTCTTCTGTTCTCAGGTCTACTCCGACAAATGAAGTTGAACCGCATGCTATATAATCGTAGAATTTGATGGATGGATTCTATATTCGTCTAGCTCTTACTTACACCTCATTTACTCGCGGCAAGGTCACATTCATTGTGCATTCCCACCAATCCTGGTGACATTGGATTTATTCAAGAGCAAAGCGCGAACTTGAACGCGCAAACTCGGCCTGGATAGACACCCCCCCCCCCTGCCGTTCGAGTCGCTAGGAAACTTGGACATCTCCTTCAAAAGTTCCTGAATCACGGTGGAGGGCGAAATTTTCTGAAACCGCGTTGGATCTGTGTAGTGATTTGTGGTCAGAGGGAGATCCAGAAGGCCACTTTCAGTGTCTACTTTTCCATACGAGGCCATTTTCGCAGAGGATTTCAAGTCCTTGTAGGGCACAATTTAAAGAATGTCTCAGGTAGCCGACCTGTAGCTACGTAAGTAATATGATTCACAAAGAGGAAAATACAAGCAAACCTTAATAACACCCCTCACGACCCTCAAATACACCTTTCCCCTCCTCCCCCTCCGCGTTATTCCCAAATTCCGCCTCACAACAACCCGCGCCTTGCGCCACCACCCTCCCCATACCCCTTCTTCCGGTCCTAACACCTCAGTGGGGGAGGGTAAACCCAGTAATCGCGTTCTTTCCGTTGCTGCTGACGCCGCTTCATCGACGTCGACCACTTTGTCTGCTGACCCTGATCGCGAGCGTGAGCGTACGCGGACGAGAGAGGATGGTGCCCCGTTGTGATGCTGGGGCATTTCTCGGAGGGGGTCAAGCTGCAATAGCGTCAGCCGACGGGAAAAGAAGAAAGAAGCTGAGGAAACCCACTTTGCCTTCCCGAATGGCACCAGCTACCCTTTCACAGGATGGTCTAGCCGCCGGGATTTTATTCAACAAACTCTCAAGAAGCACGAGGAACGTCCGTGGTAATCGCCGAGCTTCAAAGGCTGCCACTAGCCCTGGGGCGGTTTTGAATCTACCCATGGAGATATTAGTTTTATATGGTGTAGCGAAAAAGGAGTAGAAGAAAAAGTAAACTCACCCAGGGTACTCCAACACCTCTCTCTCAAGTTTATCCATCTTCTCCCCCTCACCAGCCCTCGAGCCACCCGTGACGGCCTCCCCGTTCGCGTCTCCCTCCGCTGCATACCTGTTTCATTTAGGTCTCATCAACACCAAGACCCATAACGCAGCCCAGCGGAGAAAAAACCACCCACCGATAAGGCAGCTTGAAAAAAAGCAGCTTATGCAAAATCATACCCAGACTCCACATATCCGACTTTGAGTCAATCTGCTGCAAGAGCCCCGTGTGTGGGGAGGGCAGAGATTCCGGGGATGTATATTCCAGTCTGAGTTTCGTGTCAGCATCATTATATATTACGGAAGTTGACAACAGTGGACAAGACAGGATGATGATAAAAGAAAGCACTCACGTCCCAGTATTCCCGGAGCGCTGTAGCCTTGTAGAGTTGATCATATCGCGAGAAGTTCCAAAGTCCGAGAGCATAGCGCGGGGTCTAATCGTGTACTCATCAGCATTCATCACGTCGTCCTTCAGAAAAGAAATACATCAATTTCCCTTCATCCCAAGTAAGCAACACGTTCCCCGGCTTCAGGTCAAGGTGTAATATCGATTTGTCGTGCTTCATGAGATTAAAGCAAATATCAGCTGTTCTCTTCACAAACAGCAAAGGAAGAACTCACCAAGAACCCCAACCCCGCCACAACATCCTTAAAAAGCCCTTTGACCTCATCAGCACTAAGCAAATGGACAGCCGTCCACTCTCCGTTCCTCTTCCTTGTCTCCCTCTCCCTTTGCCTCTCGCCCTCCGCGCCGCCCGCGCGCTGAAAAGCCCGGAAGGCTCGTATCCTAGCAGACCTCGAATGGAGATCGGAAGCAGAGAGCGTATGCGCTGGAGTCCCGCTTCTCCTTAGGGGTGGAGGGGCCGGTGTGCCTAGTTCGTAGTCTGCGTCGGTGGAACCTGGGGCGTGGAAGTGGATGTGGGAGGGTTTACGCCCGAGTCGAATGTCGATGAAGTCGTCGAGGCTGCCGCCTTCTGCCCACTGCATTAGCACGCTGTTTAGGGAGATAGTGTGAGTAAGTTGAGAGGAGGCGAATGGAAGAAAGGAGACGTACTGCAGTGTGGGTACTTTTGGACCGAAGGAGGAGAATTGGGCTGTTTCTAACCATGCGTGGCTGGTGTGGCGGGTCAGGTTCAGTGAAAAGTAGAAGGGAGGAGAATTGGGCCTACGTACTGGTATGTAACGATGTTGGGGTGATGTAGCCGCTCCAAAAGTCGAACCTCGCGTAGAATTTTGAGGAGGTATGAGTGAGATTCGCCAACTGCGATCTTCTTCACCGCAAAGTGGCCTATTATAATATAAGATCAAAACCATTGAAACCCCAAATAAAGACACGACCTTACCCAGTGGGTTCCCATCCAGCATATGCTATGCACCACAGATGAATCAGCCACCTCACAGCCGACACAATACGAATCCAACCGACCTGACATAGGTACACCGAGCCATTAGCACCCATTCCCAGACGATACTCTTCTTGGAAGAACGTCTTGAAGTACCCCTCCGCCATCTTTTCCGCTGGGAACGCTGACGTCCCCGATTGCTGCTGCCTCGCGTTGTTGGTGCTACTACTCGCGCTTGCACCTAATAGGGTAGGCCCGGGTGGACTGGACGGCCTTGAGGAGGATTCGTTGGCAATTTCTAAGAGCTGGAAGTAGTCCGACACGCGAGAGGTATATGCTGGATCTGAGCTCAGCGATTCGATGCCCTCTTCCTCTTCGTCCTCATCATGCGAATGAATCCTGTCTCCCGAATCATCGAACGGGTCATAGTCAAACGCGGACGGTAACAGCCGTTTACAATACGGACAACAGTCTCGCGAAGCTTTGACTGGAGCTGTGGATGTGCTGGGAAAGCCCGTTGTAACGTTGGAGGATTGGCTTATGGTCAGTGCGTGCGATGTGGGGTTGTACAGCACGACTTGGTTGGATGCGTGCAAAATGGGTTGCCACTCTGGATCTGAGACGGGGACGAGGGCGACGGCAGACGAAGAGGGCGATGAGGACAGACTCATGCTGGTTGGAGGAGGAATGGTGACGTCGGTCACGTGCACAAATTCAGATGACATTCAAGAAACTAAGTAGGCAGCAACTCTCTACATACGAATCCCTGGGTTTCGTGCAATGATCCACCTATAAATCGCGGTTAAATTTATTCAGATATGGAAGAGGCGTATACAGACCAAGCGTGGATTATCCCCGGTATCCAGGCAAAGATGCAGAGAATAATGTTGATCCATAGATCTTCGACGAAAATTCAGAAACGTCGCAAGTTGAAGACGGGGCGGAAGCACACCTATTTCACATCCACGCTCTGAATTTCGTCAGAAAAGCCACTCATTGTCAAGACTTAAACGCACTCATGAACACAGGCAGCGGCGGCAACAAGCTTCATTTGCCAAGTCTGAATCAGCCATACCACACAATCTCGCTGCGACTCACATTGCCATGAAGTACAGAACAATGTCAGTACTTGACGAAACAGCGTCGGCCATCGTGTGCGTCGAGATGGTAGCAGTTCAAGCAAGAATGCGATGTTCCACATCGTCCCCTCCTAATTCAAAACATCGGCATGACGTCACGACTTCGGATAGATTCATCTCGGAATCAAGGATGCAATGTTTTGAGGCGTTCCGTAGAGTTCATCTCTCCCAGAAACCATGGGTCAACTAAAAAAAAATTCGATGGCTGTCAGATCTCATTAGTAGCTACAAGTCGGGAAGGCTTTTCGATTTGCGCCTAAGAAAAGTGGAGGATAGTTGAGAGTGGTGATATTTCGGGAAGGAGGCAACTTGTGAACTTGATCTGTGATCGATATCGCTGTTTTGTGATGGACGGGCGTATCAGAAGAGGCGCGGTCACTTTCCCTCCCCTCTTGTTTTAAATCCTCTGCGAAAATAGCTTCTTCGTGCCGAAAAGTAAGCATGGAAAGTGTCCCTATAGACTGCCTCAGGCTATGGATCCCCCTCATCAGTCCACAAATTCCTCGACCCAATGCGGATTGTCAATGGGAAAACCGCATTTTCGAAAATTTCAGCCCTCTACTGGGACTCATGAACTTCTGAAGGAGACGTCCAGGTTTCCTAGGATGGCGAGGGTCAGATATATCCGACCCGTACCCCTAGAGGTACCCTTACCCGCAACCCGCAGGGGTATCGAAACCCGTGACAATGCCTATTCAGAATCCTAGCGACTCGAACAGCGGGTAGGGGTCTATTCAAGCCGAATTTGCGCCTTCAAGTTTATTCAAGAAATTTGAATCGAATCCAACCAGGACTGGACGGGAATGCGCAGTGTCTGTCAAGTGTATGCGAATAGATGAGGTGTAAGTAAGGGCTAGACGAATATAGAGTCCATCCATCAAATTCTACAATTCTACAGTGTGGGGTTCAACTTCATTTGTCCGATTGGACCTGAGAACAGAAGAGAGGATAACATCAACTGCTGGATCAAACACCGCACCCAAGTTTTCGGGGCCAGCGGCGCGAAAGTCCGAAGGAGCCAGGTGGTCATCACCACTTGGCCTATCATCCACAATGCCTGCAAGCGGAAGTTGTTCTATAACTGACTCCGCACTGGGACGATTTTGAGGCTCTTGATTCCAACACATTTCGATTACCTTCCAGATTTCGTCAGGCAAGAGGCCTGTGTCGGCTGGACGAGGTGGCCGGGAGCCTTCAACCACTTTCCTCATGACCGTAATGTCGCGGGAAATCTTATGGAAAGGAACATGTCCCATATAAATCTTTATAGATTGATCATCAGTGCCTTCCACAATACGGTCTCTGAGATGCCGACTTACCTCATAACAGACACACGCAAAAGAATAAATATCACTGGCTGGCGTCGCCTTGGCCAATTCGTCAGAAGGTGGGTCAATCAACTCTGGTGCCTGCCATCGCAGTGTCCCGCCGCTCTGATGTCCGGTAGTCTGAATTGAAGTCCAACACAGGATACCTTCGTCAACAAGGTTGGCCAATCCAAAGTCGGCGAGGCAACCGCGTCCATTACGATTCACAAGTACATTCAACTGAAAGGAAACCAATTATTAGTAAACACCGAACAACTACTGAAGAAAAAGGTCTTACGCCTTTGAGATCCCCGTGTATGACTTGATTCTGATGGAGGAATTGAATCCCTATTATGATATCCCATATCTAAGAAATTGGTCCCTTAGTTCTTACATAACAACCAAGAAAAATTGAGGTGTTACCAGAAGTAGACGGTTCGTGAGGGGATGCTTCCTGAGATACTCAGTTACGTTTCCGTTTTCCATCCATGGAGATACGAAGGAGATTCTTCCATTCGTATCTTCTGGATGATAAATTCCGTAGAAAGGGAGGATGTTTCGATGGGACAAATGTCCCCAAAGTAGGGCCTCTTTAAAGAAAGCCTGTGATGTAAGACATTTGCGGTTATTCAGGGCATAGAGACTTACTTTCAGCAGCTCCTTGATTTGCGTCCTTCGATTTACTTTGATAATTTTCAAGCAAATAGCCTGGCTGCGGGAACGACCTTTATAGATTTCGCCAAAGCGGCCCGAGTCTAAAACGTCGCTGTCCCGTTCAAGATCCGTTATAGTCAGGCATTCGGGATACAACTTCGATAATTTCGAAAGTCGCAGAAGCGCTCCTAAAATATCGTTCCTTGGCAAAGAAACTAGCTCCGAACAATCAAGCAACTTGGAGTAATGAGATTCGTGTTGATACTGAGCAGTCACATGACGTACCGTTTGCAGAAAATTTAGCATCTTCTGAGCGCTCTCGCCCTCAAGCTTGAGCAGAGACTTATAACCAGAGTTGTCCGATGTGTCTGTAAGGATTCGAGCCAGATTTTCACCAACGTGTTTGAGAAACGTTTGAGAAATGATTGCAGTCAAATCCGTATGATGCGTTTCGTCGATTAGATGCGTGTTCACAAAATCGAGAACGCTTTCGAGATGATTCATAACAACGTTTACGCCTTGTATCATAGTCTTGTCTGCAGAGTTTTCAATTTTCATTTTCAAACTAGGATGTTCCCAGTATCCGAGAAGAATCCGAAGACGTTGTTGAGCCCACTGCAGCCGGTTACAATCCACGAGCGCTGCCTTGATATCCATTCCGCTCGAAACCTGTAACAAATATGAAACGATTCGGTGTAACATCAAATCCTCTGGGCAAGTCGTCCGAACAAATACTGGCCACGGGAGGTCATCCCACTTGATAAACACAATGGTTGCCAACTGGGCCCACATTTCTTGATGAATCTTCTCGAGAAGCAAAATGCGGGATTCGGACAGGTCCGTCTCATCAAGTCGACGTAGGCGTTCTTGAATGCTTCCGGAATGGGGGACAGAGTCATCCGGGGGTGGCAGCACAGCAGAAGATAAAGGCATGGTCGTCGATGGGCCGTCGCAATAAATGTGGCCGAAGAAATCTGCAAGAGTGAGAGTCAGACGACTTGAAGAAAGACAGGAGTTGCTTTGTTGAGAATACGGACCACCTGAATCCCAGTTCCGGAAACCCTGTCTCGCATCTTCCGCCTGCTCTCTTTGTGAGCCATCCTCTTCCCTCTTCCCCGTCTCTTCCTCTTCCTGCCCCTTCCGCTCCTCCTCCTCCCCCTCCTCCTCCTCCTCGTCGTCGTCGGTCTCATCTATCCCATAATCGCCTCCCTCCGCTTCCGTTCTCAACTTCTCCTCCTTCTCCCGCTGCTTTCTTTTCTCCCTCTCGTCAAATGACCTCTGTCTTGCTGTGAATGGTCGACTTGGTTTCTCCTCTTGTCTCCTCCAATCCTCTTCCCATAGACCAACAGCCCAAAACGGTAATCTTACAGGCCCATGTGCAACGGAGTTCTCTCCAGAAAGCCCGGGCTCCTCTATGTACTCCTCTTCGAGCCCATCATTATGATCAAGGCGATCATACGCTCCAGGATGGTCATGGTATCGAGCTGATTCCGGAGCTGAATGAGAAGTGTCTCCACGTCGAGGAAGGGAACCAGCAGAGTGTGGTGCCGTTGCTCCAGCTCCTGGGGGCAATAAAGGAGTGCGGAAAGTTGACTCGTAGCCACATCGGCCTTCAGGAACACCCTCCCAATCTTTCCAGCTAGAAACTTCACCAACTGGAGGAGACGTCACGCGACGACGACGAACAGATCTGGGCCTGGTGGTTGACAAGCCGCTGGAGACATGAGCAGAGCAATCTACAAAATCAAGGTCAGACACAAGGCAGCCTTTGTTCAAGAATACGAACCGTCATAACTATCTTTTTCAGATGCATCTGTCCTCGAATACGAGCTCCGACGGGCACGATCCCAACGGTGCCAGTGGTCCGACTTAACATCTGATTTCATAACATGGTCCAGTCTTTCACGACGGTCAATAGAATTCACGTCTTGCAAATACTCTCCTGATTTGGTTTTTGGGACCAACGACGGTGGGGTATGATACCGCGAAGAGTCTGATGGCGATTGAGAGGAGTAGTAGTGTCGCATGAGTTTTCTGTCCTTGTGTGACTCCTGATAGCTATTGTTGGATGAGTGCGTGAGACCTTTCCTTCCAGAGTCAGCAGAATGGGGAGGAGAGAGATGTTGCCGAGGTATAAAATCATGGTAATCGGAGCGTCCATCTTGAGCAAAGGAAGATTGTCGACCTATATGCTGGGTAACTGGAGGGGAAGAAGAGTGGTGCCTATCATCACCAGCATGAGAAAAATCTGGCACAGTTCGCTGTGCTCGAGCAGTCAACGGTGGGGCAAGAGATGGGATTGGCGTGATTCTCAGAGAAGCAGGGACAGGGCTTGCATGTCTCTCGTCACCTCCATGAGAGATGGAATACCAGCGACCGCCACTATGACGTGTCCCGGATCCCTTCTCCTTCGCCTTCTCTGAGGAAGCCAAAGACCCCTTTGTCCTAACAACCGGCCTCCCTCGTGGTATAAATCCCTCGGGCATTTCATGATCACTGTCCACTTCTAGGAGTTGGGTTCCCGAAGCTGTGGTTATGGATCGCACGCTGGTTGGGCTACCTTGCTGAGCAAGAACAAAATGCTTGGAAACAGTGGAACCCCCCGCTGGAGAGATTGAAGGTTTTCTTGCTCCAGAAGCGGGAGGTGAGCGGGATGTGTATAACTCGCATATGGAACATTGTGACCGCTCATGCACATGGTCTGTGGTTCTAGATAAGGATCGATCCTTTTTGGCCACAATGCTAGATCTCTCCGGAGTGGGCTGTCGAAGTCGCTTGAATGCGTCCTCAAGACTCGAGTCTGCGAGCTCGGGGGTCGCCCAAGTTTCGGGCAGGGGTGGTCTTTCGTAGACCGTTGTATGAGCTACATCTCTTCGAAAACTGTGGAGGTGCTCAGCCCGCCGATCACGAGTGGAGGTGATTTGCGTGTCAGACCCTTGACGGGAAGCAAGACCAGAGACGACAGGGTTCACTCTTTCCCAAGTTCCCAGCTCTTCTCCATTCGCCTTCTCGATACGAGCAGAGTAATCTACAAAATAAAAGGTCAAACACATAAGAGAGAGGCTTTTGTTCGTATTTACGAACCAATATCGTTCCTATGTCTTTCAGAATCATCTCGACCTGATTTTGAGTACGAGCTCCGACGAGCATGATTCGGAGGGCGGTCTGGTTTAACATCTGAATTTCTATACCGATCTAATCCTTCACGATCTTCAAAAGAATCGTTGCGCAGATAGTTTCTTGATCCAGCTCTGGTGGCAGATGATGGTGACTTGTATTTTGCTGAAAGACGCGATGACGACATAGAAGAGGCTTGTCGCTCACGTTCTCCGTCCTTGCGTGAGTCCTTATAGTGATTGGAAGAGAAAACACTCAGCCCTAAGTCAGCGGAATCCCAAGGAGGAGAGGGATCTTGTTGAGGTATCGAATCTTGATCCTCTAAGAGCTCATCGCCGGCGAAGAAAAACTTTGGTCCTACACATCGAGGACCTGAAGATGATGGGAATTCGTTATCATTTTTGGCATGAGAAAGTTCTTGTGAAATTGACTGTGCTCGAGTAGAGAGATGAGGCAAGTTCCTCGCATTATCATATTTTGCTGATCGTGATTGAGGTGGTTGAGAGGAGCGGTGATCAGTATTGGCGACCCGGGGGTATGAGGGTGACTTGTCAGATGGACAATCGTAAAGGCGCTCCACTGCTTGGCCTATCATTTCTAAACCCTCCTTCAGTGAAGTGAGGGACGGAATCGGAATTCTCACTCGAGAGGCAGAGACAGGGTTCTCGTCACGTCCATCAGGTGCAGAATACGAGCGACCGTCCGTGCGACTAATGTCAGAGTCTTTCTCGCCTACTCTCATCAACGCAGTCCAAGGCGCCTTCCTCAGTGTATCAACCTGCCGCCTCCCTAATTCCAGACCGCCCTCACGCATTTCGTCATCGTTTTCTGGCAGTACGATTGCTGTAGCCGAGCTAATGGATAGCATGCTGGTCCTGCGACGTTGTCTAAGGACAAATGACTCGGAGGCAGCAGAATCCCCCTCTAGAGGGGGTACCCAGGCTGCTCGTCGCTCAGATATGGAACGCCGTGAACGCTCGGGATCTGCAATCAACCCTGCCGTCCTCTGTGCCTTCACCTGAACGTGACGTTCCTGGTCTCGGTTGAGTTCAGCCTCGGGTTTCTGCACCGCTCGGAGTTGTTGGGTATTCATGGGAGCTTCGTGCTCTGTGTACGAAGGCTTGAGGTCAATCCGCTGACGATAACCTTGCAGAGCTGGTCGTCGCAGTATTTCTCGGTCCCATTGACTGTAATTTTCCTCGGGTTCGATGACAGCGCCACGGGGAGAGCTTTTGCTGCTCGTAATAGGTGGTAGAGATGGCATAAAGGCTATAGGCGGTGCTCCAGAGATCCTTAAGATGTCTTCTCGACATTTTGATGGCGCCCTGTGGACATCTCTCGTGGAATGATCAGAAAAAGCGCTCAACGTCAAGTAAGCTGTCGATCATGGATAGCCTATAGGTGGCAATTCGACTCCCTTGTACAAGTGTTTGTAAACATTTAGTCCACGTACGGAAAGCAGGAAATCATTGTCTAGTGCACAATCCGCCGAAGGATTACACGCTGCGAAAAATTGGCCACAGCGGTTCACATGTGAAGTCTCTTCAAACTTGATTTGTTAGAGCTGTTTGCACAGTACAGCCATGATACGTAGACCCTTGAGAAATCCGACCTTTATCATTATGACGTTTGCAGCAGTCCCTGTAGACGAAAGTGAAGTGATAGGCAGCAACTTGCGTCGTCCGAAGGTTTCTACACCTAAAATGGCTTTTTGTGGTTCAATCAAGGGCGCAATTGACAATCGAGTCGGAGCAATTCTCCCCGACGGCCTGCTAAAGACATTGTAAAGACAATTTGTGTAATTAATTTGACGTACTTACCCGAGGGAAAAAAAGAACAGCAGGGCCTTGGACTAGGCACCGCAAGCTTTAGGTGGCCGAGTCGACGTTCGAGTTGGGCGTTCGAGGTCAGCATCAGAAAACAATGGGGCTGTGGCTGTGGCCCAAACCCGCAAGCCCAACAAAATGCAAAACCACTTTCGCACTCTTCTCAAATTTGCACGTGGTTATCTGACATATGGAACGATACAGAGAAGATTAGCATGGCCCCTGCACAAGGATGACACGCTTTCCCGGAGTGGTAGACCTACGGGTCTCAATATTTATTTTGTTTTGGACTTTTGCTATTGTTGGTATCGTTCAGAACTTGGCAGTCGATTGAGTCGAGCAACAGTCGAGATATATACAGAGACAAGTTGAAATTGTTTTAAACGTTTCACTCGTTCATTTCTTCGTCTTAGGTTTGAGGCTTAATCGAAAGGATTAGGTCCACAGATTTATGAGAACACTGGTTGCATCAACAACGCGGGAGATAATCTGGCAAATTTACGGACACAAGGGGGGCCCGCCTTCCTTCAGAGGAGTCCAAGGGTGCTGTTAGCAATTGTCCCACCTTCCTGCTCGGCTTTTCGCCCCCGGCGTTCCACAAGCAATTCCTCAAGTCGCGTCTGCTGCACTCCAGGTCAATCCAGGTACCTTTCGACCAGTTCTTGGCTACAGCCTACAGTCAAGGAAGCCAATTTTCAGCAATGGCGGCACAGCGCCGGAGACAGCGCTGAGGCGTCATTCAAACAAATGAAGGCCCACAGCGGCGTCGGGAGAGTCGCACTCCTGCTCGATGACTCGGACAGGCACATCAGGAAAAAAAAAATGTATATGTAGTTTTCTGATTGAATATGTACCCTCAGTAGTTTTGTTCAAAAAGTCAGTAGCTTCGATTGCTCCAAGTAGTGCTGATAAACTCTGGTTATGCACCCATAGTCCAGGTACACCCAGTTCATTTGTTCATAAACTCAATAGCTCCAATATTTTCAACTCATTTCCCCATAGACCTTGATTGTTTTTCCTACAGTGTCAGTAGACCAAATAGTTTCTGCCCGAAATATTAAGGTTGCTTGACTATTTCAGTAGGTTCCGTTGGATTCCTAGCACTCCATGGATTTCACCATCCAGCATATGCATTGTCAAAATAGTGCGAAGATCGTGAATCGAACCCACAACTCCACGAGACATCACGTGAGTGAACAAGAGCAATCTAGCAGCTGCGCCATGCGACTGTTTCAAGTATTCAAACGGAGCTTGCTATGTATATGCTGTTGTCGCATGGCCACGCTTTGGACTTAGACAAAATTTTCATTCTTTGATTGTTGGCATTTGGGCGTCCCACAACCCTACTCCTCAACCACTACCATCATCCACAACGCCCACTCACGACCGCAGCACCACCACTGTCACCAATGGCCACCACAACCCACAGCCCTCGTCGACCACCCACAACCAGCCCGGCATGCCCCAACACCACACGAAGTTAACGACGCGGCAACGCCACGTCACCAGCTCTGGCAAGAAAATGAGCGCCTGCAACATCGATGCGACAACGAGGACAGTGACGACATCGTGTGCCAACCCAGGTGAGCTAACACAACCCCTTCCCCCCATTCCTTTAGTCATACAACGTTCAGGTGCCACGTCGCTAACAGCGACGTGGCAACCAAATGACGAACAACAACCAATTCGTCGTCTGGACCGACACGACACAACGACGGTGCGACGACAACACGGGACAACGACGACTCAACAACAATACGGAACTACGAGGCGACTACGACAGATGTGCCACGTCATCCAGATGGCACACATGCCGTCACCACCGTCCACAGTAGACAGGTGAGCGCATCACGTTGTAAGCCCCACCAGCTGCTCTGTTTCTCCTTCTAATAGTCAGAACCCACCTAGCGGCCATCGTAACCACTGCCACCTCACCGCCTCGCCCTCTCCCACACTGAGCAATGTGACCCGATACGACGATGATGACAGCACACGACAACGGCCAAATGACAACGATGGAGACGGATGGCCGACGACAATGTGGCTGGCGGCGATGACGGACGACGACAACTACGGTCACAACACGACGACGAAGACCACGACGACGAAGACCTTGACGACGGACAACGCAAAGACCATGACGACGCGTGAGGGCTCCCTTTCGGTTAGGATACCCTCGTGTCCCCTCATTCATGTCTAACGTTACCGGCTTTGGGCCTCATTCTCAGTGCGGCCATTATCGTAGAGCCCTTGTATTAGATAGCTTGAAATGTCATTGATATCCCTAGTTTCCACAATCTGATATGGATTAAGAAATTTAATAGTCATCTACGAAGAAATCAGTACACCCAGGTAGCTTTGGTAGCAAGGTGTACCAGTGCCTACCTAATGGGAAAGAGGGTGTACCGAGGGCTATCTGGTGGAAGGGAAGAAATACCCGGGCTACTGAGATGTCACGGTAAACTACTGGAGCGACTCATGGGGGGGACTAGACTACCAGGGTATTATAAATACTAGAGCTACAGTGACCTACTGACTCAAGAGATTTTCTCCTGATGCAGCCATCGTTTGCAGGTCGTCCCCTAGCAATTGATTCCGTCGCTCCAGCGAACCAACCTCCCGTTACCTCACAAGAACCTACGGGTCCAAGAGCACCCACAGATTCCCCGCTGACGCGAAACCTGATCCATTCGGGAGCGATATCTCCTGTCCGGACGGAACCACCCCATTCGCCCGCCTAATACTCGAGCGAATGACCACCTTCCCCACACTCTCCGGTTTCTGCAAAGTCCACAACTAGAGCCCAGCTGGCAAGCACTAAATGCTCGAGAACTAGAGGGGGAACTCGAGAGCCGAGCCCCCTTAGTATTTCCAACAAATCACCAATTACGGCGGTCACTGGTCGCTCAGGGTTAAACCTATGAAGCCCCGTCGGTGATTTCAGCATCTCCCAGCAGTGGTACGTAGGCGGGTCTGGAACAAGCCCTCAGATAGCCTCCGAAGGGTGGGCAGCCATAACTCCACTGACTTAAGCCAATCTAACCTCAAGCATAGCATTAGGCGCCGCCCAAATCCCAAAAAGCTTCTTGAAAACCCCTTCGGCTTTCCTGAGTGACAAATTCACCAAGGAAACATCGTCTTGTTCTTTAGGCTTTGATTTGATGAACAATGGCCCGCGGAAGCAACGGGGGAGGAGGAGGATGTCTGCGTCTATCCAGAGACTTTGCACCTTCAAGTTCCCGCGCTGCTCTTCCTTGAACAAATCAAATGCAACCAGGATTGGATGGGAACGCGCAGTGTCTGTGACCTCGCTGCGAGTACTAAATGAGGTGTAAGTAAGGACCGTTGTAGAGTCCAACCATCAAATTCTACGATTATATAGCATGCGGTTCAACTTCATTCGTCCGAGTACACCTGAGAACAGAAGAGATAATAATATCAACTGTCGGATCAAACACCGCACCCAAGTTTTTGGGGCCAGCAGCGCGAAAGTCAGAGGGAGCCAGGTGGTCATCAACACTTGGCCTATCATCCACAATGCCTGCAAGAGGAAGTTGTTCTATAACCGAATTTGCACTGGGACGGTCTTGAGGCTCTTGATTCCAACACATTTCGATCACCTTCCAAATTTCGTCGGACAAGACGCTTGTGTCGGCTGGACGAGGTGGCCGAGAGCCTTCAACCACTTTCTTCATCACCGTAATGTCGCGGGTAACCTTATGGAAAGGAACACGTCCTGTATAAATCTTAGAAGGTTGATCATCAGTGCCTTCCACAATACGGTCTTGAGATGCCGACAACACTTACCTCATAACAGACGCATGCGAAAGAATAAATATCACTAGTTGGCGTCGCCTTGGCCGATTCTTCAGAAGGTGGGTCAATCAACTCTGGTGCCTGCCATCGCAATGTCCCGCTGCCCTGATGTCCGGTAGTCTGAATTGAAGTCCAACGGAGGATATCTTCGTCCACCAGGTTGGCCAATCCGAAGTCGGCGAGACAACCGCGTCCACTACAATTCACAAGTACATTCAGCTGGAAGGAACCAAGTATTAGTAAATGTCAAACGGCTACCATGTAAAAGGTCTCACGCCTTTGAGATCCCCGTGTATGACTTGATTCTGATGGAGGAATTGAATCCCTAGTATGATATCCCACGTCTAACAAAGCGGCAGCTTAGTTCTTGCATAAAAACCAAGAGAGTTGAAGTCTTACTAGAAGTAGACGGTTCGCAAGGGGATGCTTCTTGAGATACTCAGTTACGTTTCCGTTTTCCATCCATGGAGATACGAAGGAGATTCTTCCATGCGTATCTTCTAGATGATAAATTCCGTAAAAAGGGAGGATATTTGGATGGGACAAATGCCCCCAAAGTAGGGCCTCTTTGAAGAAAGCCTGTGATGATCATGTAAGACAATTGCGATCATTGAAGTCACCAAACACTTACTTTCAGTAGATGCTTAATTTGCGTCTTTCGATTTACTTTGATAATTTTCAAGCAAATGGCCTGGTTGCGGGAACGACCTTTGTAGATTTCGCCAAAGCGTCCCGAGTCCAACACCTCATCGTCCCGTTCAAGATCCGATATAGTCAAGCATTCAGGATACAACTTTGATAACTTCGAAAGTCGCAGAAGCGCTCCTAGAATATCGTTCCTCGGCAGAGAAGCTAGCTCCGAACAATCAAGGAGCTTGAGGTCATGAGATTCGTGATGATACCGAACATCACATGACGTACTGTTTGCAGAAAATTCAGCATCTTCTGAGCGCTATCGCCCTCTAACCTGAGCAGAGCCTTATAACCAGAGTTGTCCGATGTGTTTGTAAGAATCCTAGCCAGATTTTCACCAACGTGTTTGAAAAACGTTTGAGAAATGATTGCAGTTAAATCCGTATGATGCGTTTCGTCGATTTGATGTGTGTTCACAAAATCGAGAATGCTTTCGAGATGACTCGTAACAATATTTACACCTTGTATCATAGTCTTGTCTGTAGAGTTTTCGATTTTCTTTTGCAAACCAGGTTGTCCCCAGTGTCCGAGAAGAATCCGAAGACGTTGTTGAGCCCACTGCAGCCGGCTAGAATCCACGAGCGCTTCCATGATGTCCATTCCGCTCGAAACCTGTAACAAATATGAAAGGATTCGGTGTAACGTCAAATCCTCTGGGCAAGTTGTGCGAACAAATACTGGCCACGGGAGGTCATCCCACTTGATAAACCCGATGGTTAGCAACTCGGCCCACATTTCTTGATGGACCTTCTCGAGAAGCAAAATGCGGGACTCAGACAGGTCCATCTCATCAAGTTGACAATGCCGTTCTTGGATGGTCTCGGAATGAGGGACAGACTCATCTGGGAGTGGTGCGCACTGCAGCACAGCGCCGGATACGGACTTGATCGTCGATGGGCCGTCGCGGTAAATGCGGCCAAAGCAATCTGCCAAAGTGAAGGTCAGACGACTGAGGAAAGAAAGGGATCTCTTTGTTGAGAATACCGACCACTTGGATTCCAGTCCTGGAAACCCTGTCCTGTGTCGTCCCTCTCAATAGATGAGCTTTGTCTTGCTGTAACTGCTAGACTTAGTGTCTCTTCTTCTTGTCCCTTCCAATCCTCTTCCCTAGACCAAGACGGCAATCTTACCGGCCCATGTCCAACGGAGCTTTCTCCAGAGAGCCTGGGCTCGTCTGTATACTCCCCCTCAAGCCCATCGTCATCACAAAGGCAATCACGAGGACTATGCGCTGCGTGATGGTTGTGGCATCGAGGTGACTCCGGAGCTGAATGAGAAATGTCTCCGCGCCGAGGAAGTGAACCAGCATAGTGCGGTAACGGTCCTCCGACTATTGGGGGCAATAAAGGAGGGAAATTCGGTTCGTAGCCAGGTCGGCCTTCAGGAACACCCACCCAATCTTTCCAAGTTGAAACTTCATTAACCGGAGGAGGTGTTGCGCAACGACAAGGAACAAATATGGGCCTAGCGGTCGATAAGCAGCTGGAGACATGGGCAGAGTAGTCTAGAGAATCACGATCAGACTCAAGGCGGCCTTTGTTCAAGAATACAGACCGTCATAAGTCTCTCTTTCAGATGCATCCCACACTGCCCTCGAAGACGGGCTCTGACGAGCATGGTTCGAACGGTGGTCCGACTTAACACTGACATGATCCAGGCTTTCATGACCATCAGAAGGATTCACGTTCCGCAAACACACTCCCGATTCGGTTCTTGGGACCAACGAGGGTGGGGGGTGATAGCGCGAAGAGCCTGACGGCGATAGAGAACAGTAGTGTCGCATAGGTCTTCTGTCCTTGTGTGACTCCTGATAGCGATTGTCGGAGAATGAGTCCATGAGACCTTCCCATCCAGAGTCAGCAGAATGCGGAGGAGAGAGTTGTCGTCGAAGTATAGAATCATGGTAATCGGAGCGTCCGTCATTGGCAAAGGAAGATTGTCGACCTATGTGGCGACTAACTGGAGGAGAAAAAGAGTGGTGCCTATTATCACCAGCATGACCAAACTCTTGAACAGTTGGCTGTGCTTGAGCAGTCAACGGTGGGTGAGGAGATGGGATTGGCGTAGATCTCAAAGAAATGGGGACAGGACTTGCATGTCTCTCGTCACCTCGGTGAAAGATGGAATACCAACGACCGGCACTGCGACGGGTCCCGGGTCCCTTCTCCCTCGCCTTCTCCGAAGAAGCCCAAGAGCCCTTTGTCCTAACGATCTGCCTCCCTCGTACTCGTACTGTACTGCCCTCGAGCGTTTCGTAATCGTTGTCCACTATTGGGAGTTGGATTCCCAGTGATCGCTCACCGTGGTCTGTGCTTCCGGGAGAGGGTCGATCGTTTTTAGCCACAGTGCTAGATCTCTCTGTAGTGGGCCATCGAAGTCTGAACACTCTCCGCCCTGAGCCAGCGGAATCCCAGGGAGGAGAGGGATCTTGTTGCGGTATCGAATCTTGATCATCCAAGAGCTCGTCGCCGGCGAAGAAAAACTTTGGTCCTACACTGCATTGAGTACCTGGAGATGACGGGTAATCATTATCATCTCTGTCATGGGAAAGTTCTTGCGAAATTGACTGCGCTCGAGTAGAAAGATGAGGTAATTTCCTCGCATCATCATATGTCGCTGATCGTGATTGAGGTGGTAGAGAGGAGCGGTGATCATTATTGGCGGCCCGGGGGTATGAGGGTGACCCGCCAGATGGATGACCGCAAAGGCGCTCCACCGCTTGGCCTATCATTTCTAGACCCTCCTTCAGTGAGGTGAGAGACGGGATTGGAATTCTCGCTCGAGAAGCAGAGACATGAACAGCATGGTTCTCGTCACGTTCACCAGGTGCAGAATACGAGCGACCGTCCCTGCCACGAATGTCAGAGTCCTTCTCCCCTAATCCCGTCAACGCAGTCCAAGGGGCCTTCCTTGTATCAACCTGCCTCCTCCCCAATTCCGGACCGCCCCCATGCATTTCGTCATCGTTTTCCGGAAGCACGATTGCTGTAGCCGAGCTAATGGATCGCATGCTGGTCCTGCGACGTCGTCGTTGGCCAGCATAATCCCCCTCTAAAGGGGGTACCCAGGCTGCTCGTCGTTCAGATATGGAATGCCGTGAACGCTCGAGATCTGTATTCAACCCTGCCGTCGACTGCGCCTTCACCTGAACGTGACGCTTCCCGTCTCGGTCGAGTTCAGCCTTGTGCTCCTCCACTTCTCGGAGGTGTTGCGTGTTCATGGGAGCTTCATGCTCTGTGGACGAAGGCTTGCGGTCAATCCGCTGACGATAACCTTGCAGAGCTGGTCGTCGCAGCATTCCTGAATACCATTGATTGTAGTTTTCCTTGGGTTCGATGTCAGCGTCTTGGGGGGAGCCTTGCCTGCTCTGAGGTGATGGAGGTGGCATAAAAGTTATTGACGGTGGGTAAAGCTTCGGGGGTCCTTAAAATGTCCCTTTTGAACTTGGCCAATTTGATGGCACGCTGTGCACAAGTGACACTGATGTAACGAAAGGACATCTTGAGATCCACTATGGTTTCTGTATGCGGTCGTATGTAGGAGGGACGAGAAGACTTTGCGATGTCGCTCAAATGTTGCTGAAGACCGGGGATTCGGAAATCGATATCTCGGATTTCACCGGTGAACACCCCTGCCTCCGTCGGGTAATTGCAATCAGGCTGATAAAAGAAAACTACAAAACCTCACATACCTTCCCAGTTCTGAGTTTGCCCAGCTGAATTCCGAACGTCCCCGCTCCTGCTGTGCTGGAATAACTCCGCCAGCAGTTGGGGCTGGTGCCCACTCGGAAGACCGGGCCATACTCAACGGGTTTATACCCTCCTGCCGATTGTGTAGGTTGGTCGTCAAAATGAGCAGTTGTGGAAATATTATGCTAATGCAAACGTGTCATCGCCTGTCAGCGCACGGATAGAAAACTTAAACCGGGCTAGACATGTTGTTCGCGATTGCTGGGGGACAATCTCAGGGGTATAACAAATTTGATTGGGGTCAATGATTGGGGTTTGCGCGCGACGGACGTTGGTGAGTTCGCGCACATCGTGCATGCTGACAACCGGCCAAGATTTGACAATGCCGGCGTGAGGCGGCGTTGCCCAACAACACAGCCTTGCCTTAAAGTACCTTAAAGCGCCTAATATGGGCATAAAGTCCTTTAAAGGCACTTTACTTTGCGGCAACACTACTATCTGCACACATGAACTCGCGGTCGTTTCTCCACACTCGAATCAATTCATCACATCAATCCCAACAATTTCACCGAAGAACATCCAGTTGGCTATTTCCAGCTTGATGCAAAACCCTAGACACCTTCCCTGGGCTCCGCCTCAGTTTGTATAAACAACCATTCGAGGAAGAAAGCGGACACGAATGATGTAAGTCCTCCACCAACTCAGGGCACATGTAATATAATGGAGTGCTCCACTTTCCAATCGAGGCTATAATGATACGGAATCACACCAAATGCAGTTATTTGTACAAAGCGAGGCGGAGCCCAGAAATTTCGGGGAGGTGTCTAGGGTTTTGCATCAAGCTGTCAAGAGCGAAGACGAAGAAAACGAAGCTCAAGACGATGACGCAGTGACTAGCACTGACTCTGATGATTTGTTATGTGTAGGTTGGAATGGAACGGATGACCCTGCGGATCCGAAAAAGTGAGTCCATTGCAAAAGTCTTCACTGCCAAAGACCGGGCATCAGCAGGTAAATCATCCAGAATCACTTGCGCTTGGTGTCTCTTCATTCTTGCTGCATTCTCCGCCTCAAGAGGGCCTTCGCCGCTGGGGAGCTCGTATTCCCTGCAAGTCTCCACCGCCAACAATCGGGCATCTGCAGATAAATAATCGGAATTGAACTCACTTGCGCTTGGTATCTCTTCATCCTTGCTTCATTCTCCGCCTCAAGAGGGCCATCGCCGCTAGTGAGCTCGTATTCCCTGCAAGTCTTCACCGCCAACAATCGGGCATCAGCAGGTAAATCATCGGAACTGGATTCACTTGCACTTGGTGTCTCTTCATTCTTGCTTCATTCTCCGTCAATCAGTGCAGGGTTTTGCTAAGGAAATAATGATAGACGCCTGTGTGGAGTGAGAGTCCTTGAGAGGCAGTGAGATCTTGAATAACAACTGCCTACGGGACCAATCTTATCAGCAATCATTGATAGCATTCCAATTTCAGTGACCACAGCCTGACGGGTCGGTACGAGTCGACTTCTCGCGTTTATCCGCTGAACACCCCTTGTAAGTTGACAATTACCATGCATGATGACAGACAGCAACTCATCCGAAGGTTGTCCGAGGCTTTTACGCGTAAAATGGCTATTTATAGTTTAAACAAGGGCGGTTGAAAGAAATTTCGGAACTACGCGATCAGCTGTATAATTAAGTGTTGAGACAATCTGTGCAGTGGAATTTGACACACTTACCAAAAAAAAAAGTCCCTTGGATTGTAAACTGCAAAATTTTGGGTAGTTGAGTCGACGTTCGAGTTTGAAGGTTTTCAATGAAGGGAAAGCAAGCTGTGGCTGTGACCCAACCCCGCAAGCCCAACAAAATGCAAAACCATTTTCGCACCGTTCTTATATTTGCATATATTTATGTCCCCTTCGGGGTGACATACGAAAAAATTGGAACGATACAGAGAAGATTAGCATGGCCCCTGCACAAGGATGACACGCTTTCCCGGAGTGGTAGACCTACGGGTCTCAATATTTATTTTGTCTTGAACTTCTGGCATCGTTCAGAACTGCCAGTCGAGATACAGGAAACATTTTTTAGTTCAGAACGAGATACAGAGGAAACAAAAACTGAAAGTTATTTTCGGTGTATCCCTCGCTCATTTTATCGTCGCAGGTTCGAGGATCAATCAGAAGAATGATAGGTTTACGAGAAACACCGATTGTAACAACGACGCCGGAGATAATACAAATTCAAGGACACAAGTATGCTAGGTTACATTGACAGAGCAAAGCACATGATTTCGTTACAATGGTATACAAAAAAAATATTCCGAGGCAGCGGGTCCTGTGAGAAAGATTGACATGAGGAAGGAGCTGCCAATGGATGGGATAGAACAGCGTACCGTGGTATACAAATGTCGGTAGTGATACATGCCAATGCACGGAGGTCTTCGGACGTTGCGCGGACAGGGTCAACTTCGGACAGAGTTTCCGCAGACATGCGTTGAAACGGAACACGGAGAGTTCATTGAGGTGATCGATCGGGCATGCTGATATGAAAACGGGACCGTTAGCCCAAGGAGACGGGAAAGAAATGAAGTGTCTACCTGAATTTCGCGGAGTGAGTGTGTTCAGGGTGTCTTTTGTGTTGACGGCCGATGAGGAGGCTGCTGACTCGGACAGACGTTAGCGAGGGTGCGGGCAAGGCGGACGTACCGAAGATTTTTTAGCATGAGCGAGCGTTGAAATCGACGCCACAAAGAACAGGGTACCTGCTCAATACAATAAATCGTTGTCATCCATTTTCAACACAAAAGAAAACACACCCAACCGACGCCCATCCCCCATCCAAAGAAGCACGTCACCCAATCGTACGAACTCAACCAAACACCGCTTCAACACCCGCAAACGGCAGTGCCCAAGTACACGCAGTGTGCACCAAGGGAGGACATCATTCCTACTGCCGTTCAAGTGCCCACGTCCGGTTTGACGATGCCAGAGCTGAGCTCGAGGCAATCCAACCCGTCGGAAAAGGGTTGAACAACCTCCAACATCATCGTGATCGACCAAGCCCGTTAGGAGATCAGGACGCCCGAAATCCTCGACAGCCCAATGGATCCAGGTGTGGGATCACCCAACTGCCTGCCCAAGCTCTTTTAGAGCCGTTTTCCACACCCGGATAACACCAGTACCCAGGATGTTTTGAGGACATGATGTGGTGCGTGTGGTTGGTTTTGGTCGTATACTGGGATGGATCGCGCCCGCCGTCCTTTAGCGAGGAGTCCAGAGATGCTGTTGAGGCCTGGGGAGCAGGGTGCAGAGAAGATGAGGAATTAGAGATGGGAGAAGGAAGGAAAGGCTTGGGCGGGTTGCACGTTGTATTTATAGGGCTGTGTGGCTCGGGCACATGATGACTAGAAAGCACTCAAAACACAAGGATGAACCAGCAGCAGGAAAGGATGCGGCACCCACAACGCAAATTGCAATAGATCCATATTCGCATCACATGACCGTCGCGTCGTGAAGCAAAAATTTATACACGCTTAGTCTCCGTCACAGCATCGTACTTTCTTGTCTAAAAATTGCGGTCATTGCATTGAACGGGGTGGAAATGGTGGCATTGATGACCTGCTTTCCGTCATTACTCAAGTGCCCACCTGACTCACCTCGAATGCCTCCTCCAATCAACCTCCAATAGCACCAATATCCGCCGCACTGACACCGCCATGAATTCAAACATATGACGACTGTACTACCCTCTCCTCGAAGAGATCGGTCACCAGTCTTTCATCGGCGGACATCCACTGGGCGACGATCATACGCGAAACTTATCAATTTGGCTGTCTAGGACGTTGACTTCACGAACAATCCACGTGCTGTGCACAAGTTTCTTGGCGGCATCATATTTGTTTCACAACGATTCAACTCACTTGCAACTTGCAATTGTATCGAGAGAATCGCACGCTCACCAATTTCCAGCAATCCGACGCAACCTTGTGCAGTTTTCTTTGGGGCGTTGAAAACGGTTCCACATACTCTGATGGGGCGTAGAACTTGAACTTGAAATTGAAGGTCTGACTCAGCGTGCACTCGCGGCGGTTTGCGGCCTTTACCCGACCACCTTGAACGGCTCTCAAACACGGATTCTAATACTCACTTCAACTTAAACAACTTGGCACGTCTTGGCACTAGAGGGTATGTAAAGGGAAAGTCGAGAGGTATGCGCCGAAATCTAATCCGCTGCCCCTCGCTGATCATGTTCACTAATAGCTTCATCTTCTTGCTCGGCCTTTTCGCCCTCGCCCTCCAAATAATTCCTCGAGTCGCGTCTGCTCCACTCCAGGTACCTTTCGACCAATTCTTGGCCACAGTCAAGGCAGCCAATTTTCATCAATGGCGGCACAGCACCGTAGACAGTGAGGCGTCATTCAACCAAATGAAGGCGCACATTCTCGACATGTACAGCGGCGTCGGGAGCGTCAAGCACTCCTTCGTACACGACGGCCGCTACGCCGACTGCATCGACATTCACAGGCAGCCATCCCTCGCAGGTCGTCCCCTAGCAACTGCACCAGTCGCTGCATTGAACCAACCTCCCACCTCACAAGGAGGACCTGAGGGCCCAAAAGTACCCATAGACTCCCCGCTGACGCAAAACCTGGTAGATCCATTCGGGAACTCTATCTCCTGCCCGGACGGAACCATCCCCTTCGCCCGCCTAACGCTCGAGCGATTGACCGCCTTCCCCACCCTCGCCGGGTTCTTCGCAAAGTCCACAACCGGAGCTGGGCAAGCGCTGAGTGGTCGAGAATTGGAGGGGGGACTCGAGAGCCGAGGCCCCTCAGCCCAACCCCACCTGTACGCCTACGGTTTCCAACAAATCACCAACTTCGGTGGTCACTCATGGTTGAACCTATGGAGCCCCGTTGGCGATTTCAGCCTCTCCCAGCAGTGGTACGTAGGCGGGTCCGGAGCTAGCCTTCAGACAGCCGAAGGGGGGTGGGTTGTCTACCCGCAGCATTTCAGTACCCAGGCTGTGCTTTTCATCTTCTGGACGCCCGACGATTACACTACAGGCTGCTATAACCTAGAATGCAAAGCCTTTGTTCAGATCAGCAATAAATGGAACCTGGGAGGAACGTTTGACCAGTACAGCGTCACGGGTGATGGGCAGCGCGGCTTTGACTTGCAATACAAATTGTTCCAGGGCAATTGGTGGTTGTTCCTCAGAGGCTCGAGCGCAAACTACGACGCAGTCGGCTACTATCCCGGATCGATCTATAACAAGGGACAGTTGACCAAGAACGCGGAGCTCGTTGAGTATGGCGGCGAGGTTACGAGGTTCACTACCGCAGACGTCTGGCCGCAGATGGGCAGCGGGATGTTCCCGAGCAAAGGTTATTCGCAGGCCGCTTTCCAGAACACGATTTACTACAATCCGCGCGATGAAAGTGATGGGGTTGGCGTTTGGTCGTTCTTGACGAAGGTCGTAGTGGGCAGCCATAGCTGCTGGGACATCAACATCACGGAGTCGGCTCAGGGAGGCGGTTGGGGTACTTTCTTTTTCTTTGGTGGGCCAGGTGGTAATACGTGCTAATTCCTTTTACATAAAAGTATTCTGCCTGTAATTCGTATCGTTCAATCTAGCATTTTTTGTTCATTTTATATTGCGGTTCAGACGCAACGATATCTTACCGTCTAGAAATGGCCTGAACAAAAATTCGAATTGTTTTTCGCGGGCAAGATTCAAAAAAATATTGCGGACCAGAATCATCTCTCTAAAGCCAATCTAACCTCGAGTATGACATTGGCGCTGCTCAAATCCCAAAAACCTTGTTGAAAAACCCCTTCGGCTTCTCGTGACCAACCTCATCATCGAACCACACAAAAATATTACCATCCCTCGTCTCAGTAATCACCTCATCGCCTCCCCACGCGTCCTCACCGTTCTCCCCCCACTCCTCAGCGACAAATTCACCAAGGAAACATTTATCTGTCCATCGTAATCTGTGCCTTCACCTCGTCTGAGAACCTTACTTTCCTGAGTTTGAGAGTTTGTTTCAAGATTGCGCTGTCCTCAAGTTGAACAAATCAAATGCAAAGAGGATCGGATGGGAATGCCTGTGACCTTGTCGCGAGTAAATGAGGGGTAAGTAAGGACTAGGCGAATATGGAGTCCATCCGTCAAATTCTACGATTATATATATGGTGGCATGTGGTTCAGCTTCATTTTCCGAGTAGACCTGAGAACAGAAGAGAGGATAACATCAATTGCTGCCAGATCGAACACCACACCCAAGCTTCCGGGGCCAGCGGCGCGAAAGTCGGAGGGAGCCAGGTGGTCATCACCACTTGGCCTATCATCCACGATGCCTGCAAGAGGAAGTTGTTCTATGACCGAATTTGCACTGGGACGGCCTTGAGGCTGTTGATTCCAACACATTTCGATCACCTTCCAAATTTCATCAGACAAGAAGGTTGTGCCGGCTGGACGAGGTGGCCGAGAACCATCAATCACTTTCTTCATGACCGTAATGTCGCGGGTGATCCTATGGAAAGGAATATGTCCCGTATAAATCTTCATAGGTTGATAATTAGTGCCTTGCACAGTACAGTATTTGAGATGCCGACACCACTTACCTCATAGCAGACGCATGCGAAAGAATAAATATCACTGGCTGGCGTCGCCTTGGCCGATTCCTCAGAAGGTGGGTCAATCAACTCTGGTGCCTGCCATCGTAATGTCCCATTGCTCTGATGTCCGGTAGTCTGAATTGAAGTCCAACGGAGGATATCTTCATCAGCAAGGTTGGCCAATCCAAAGTCAGCGAGACAACCGCGTCCACTACGATTCACAAGTACATTCAGCTGGAAGGAACCAATTATTAGTAGATAACGAGCGACTATTGATGCAAAAGGTCTCACGCCTTTGAGATCCCCGTGTATGACTTGATTCTCATGGAGGAATTGAACCCCTAGTATGATATCCCATATCTAACAAAGTGGTCACTTAGTTCTTACATAGAAACCAAGAAGCAGTGAGGTCATACCAAAAGTAGACGGTTCGCGTGGGGATGCCTCCTGAGATATTCAGTTATATTTCCATTTTCCATCCATGGAGATACGAAGGAGATTCTTCCATGCGCATCTTCTAGATGATGAATTCCATAGAAAGGGAGGATATTTGGATGCGACAAATGTCCCCAAAGTAGGGCCTCTTTAAAAACAGCCTGTGCTGTATGTAAGACATTCGCGATGATTGAAGGCACCAAACACACTTACTTTCAGCAGATGCTTAATTTGCGTCTTCCCATTTATTTTAATAATTTTCAGGCAAATGGCCTGGTTGCGGGAACGACCTTTATAGATCTCGCCAAAGTGACCCGAGTCCACCATGTAGTTGTCCCGTTCAAGATCCGTTACAGTCAGGCATTCGGGATACAACTTTGATAATTTTGAGAGGCGCAGAAGGGCTCCTAAAATATCGTTCCTCGGCAAAGAAACTAGCTCCGAACAATCAAGGAGCTCGGAGATAATGAGATTTGTGATGATACTGAGCAGTTACATGACGTACTGTTTGCAAAAAATTCAGCATCTTCTGAGCGCTATTGCCCTTCAACCTGAGCAGAGACTTATAACCAGAGTTGTCCGATGTGTTTGTAAGAATCCGAGCCAGATTTCCACCAACGTGTTTGAGAAACGTTTGTGAAATGATTGTAGTCAGATGTGTAGGTCGCTTTTCATCGATTTGATGCATGTTCACAAAATCGAGAACAATTTCAAGATGATTCGTAACAACGTTTACACCTTGTACTATAGTCTTGTCTGCAGAGTTTTCAACTTTCTTTTGCAAACCAGGTTGTCCCCAGTGTCTGAGAAGAATCCGAAGACGTTGTTGAGCCCACTGCAGCCGCCTAGAATCCACGAGCGCTTCTTTGATATCAATTCCGCTTGAAATCTGTAACAAATATGAAACGATTCGGTGTAACATCAAATCCTCTGGGCAAGTCGTCCGGACAAATACTGGCCACGGGAGGTCATCCCACTTGATTGTCCCGATGGTTGGCAACTCGGCCCACATTTCTTGATGAATCTTCTCGAGAAGCAATATGCGGGACCCGGACAGGTCCATCTCATCAAGTCGACATAGACGCTCTTGAATGCTTTCGGAGTGAGGGACGGAGTCATCTGGGGGTGGCAGAAGAGCAACAGATATGGACTTGGTCGTCGTTAGGCTGTCGCGGTAAATGTGGCCGAAGCAATCCGCAAAAGTGAAGCCCAGAATACTTGAGGAAAGCAAAGAATTTCTTTCTTCAGAATACGAACCACTTGCATCCCAGTCTTGGAAACCATGTCTCGTGTCTTCCGCCTCCTTTCTCTTCGACCCATCCTCCTTCCTCTTCCCCGTCTCTTCCTCTTCCCGCCCCTTCCTCTCCTCCTCCTCCTTGTCAGTCTCATGATCCTCTTCCCTAGACCACGACGGTAATCTTATAGGACTATGTCGAACAGAGTTGTCTCCAGAAAGCCCAAGCTCGTCTATGTACTCCTCCTCAGGCCCATCATCATTATAAAGGCGATCACGAGGACTATATGCTGAAGGATGATTATGATATCGAGCTGACTCCGGAGCTGAATGAGAAGCACCTCCGCGTCGAGGATGGGGACCAGCAGAGTGCGGTAACGGTACTGGGGGCAATGTAGGGACATCAGGTGTGCGTTCGTTATCGATCCCATCCGTATGCTGTTGTTCGGGATAGTTTCTAGTAGATGATGGTTGCTTCAGTTGTTGCCGCTGCTGGGGATAGTTGACTGTTGAGGAAGTAGGAGCCTGTTGCTGCTGGTGAGAATAATTGATCGTCGAGGGAAGAAGCATCAGTGGAGAAAGAATTGACTGTGGTGAGTCATACACCGATGATGATGGAGCCGTTTGCCCAGGGAACGCAGCCTGCCCCCCAGGGCTAGGGCCTGCAAGTCCCTGCCTCGCAGCTCTAGCCGCCTTCTCCGCTTCACGCTGCCTCCGAGCGATCGCCTCCTGCTCCTGCAGCCGTTTCGCTTCTGTGCGCCTCCTCAAGATCTCCTCCTCCCGCTTCCGCATCTCCTCCTGCTGCTGCTGGTGCCGACTCCCGTCAGACACAACGATCCTGCTCGCAGAGCCATATTGTGGCCTGGAATACCCCTGCGTCATATCAGAAGAAGACGAGCCCGAGTCCGAGGTACGTCGTCTGCGTGGATTCCCATGGTCTTGAGAAGAAGACCTAGAGGAGGTAGTGCGTTGTTGTTGGAAGGGGTAGGAGGTGGAGGGGAAGGGCATGGGGACGGGCACGGGTGTGTCTGTTGCTGGCATGTTTACAACGATCACGGGCGGTGGTGGCATAGCGAGGTACTGCAGCTGGTTCCAAGGTGCCGCTCTCAGAGTCTGCGCCCCATCCCCGTCCCCATCCGAATCCTACTCCTCCATAGACAAAGCCAAAGCACGCAATCTCAATCGTTCCCTCTCAAACACCCTCTCCCGCTCCCTATCCGACTCTCCATCCCTAGTCGCAGACCGTTGAGGTGCATTCGCGGCCTGACGAGCGGCAGCAACGGCGTCTTTTCGGGTGCGCTCTGTCAATTCTTCCTGTTCTTCTCGCTGACGTCTCCATCGTGCAGCTTCCTCCGCTGCGAGCCTCCTCTGCTCTCGCCTTTGCTCTTCCTCGTGGTATTGCGCTGCTGATGCCTGGGTCTGGGCATCGTTGGGCATCGGATGGGGCAGATTGGCATCAGGTGTGCGTTCGTTATCGATCCCATCCGGATGAGCTTGAATCCATTTGTCGAACCTGTCGACTAGAGTTGGTTTCAGGTCGCCGAGGGTGTCCAACATGTCTTGGCCGTTCTGTAGATTAGCAGAAATTAGATGGCATCACTGTAGAAAATCGTCACGGAACGAAGGAATTGAACAGCCCATATAAGTCATGAGTGGAAGTGAGGCCAGTCCCTCCATCCATTCCAAACCACGTCACAGAGCAAGGAACAAAGTTTCTACTCTTCCCATGGGGCAATCCCAGAATCTCAGGCATGGCATCATAGCTGATCTGCCTCGCGCTGCCCGTCAGATGAGAGCGATAGTCCTCCAACAACATTATACACCCAAATGCACCGAGACCTGACAGCTGATAGACACGCACCAACCCTAAATTCTGTCTCTGCGCCGGGCTCAGCAACGTGTAGTAGTCACGATGCAGAGGCAGTTTTTCAAGCACCAGAATCGCAGCCCTCGTCAACTGGACAAATGCGTTCTCCAATTCGCCTGTCCTCACAAACTCCTTGCCATCGCGGCGGTAGTTTCCTGCCACGCGCAGATAGTGCTTGATATCCTCGTTCTCGTCCCACTGGAGGTTATTTAGGGCTTGTTCAGTGAGCTCGGGGATGGAGGCTGGCCGTTTTGATTTTGACGAGTATCGACGAGGGTCGAGGGGCTGGCTCATTGTGAGGAGAATGGTATTGTGAGCGCGGCGCTCGCGATATACACCGCCATCTGGCCAAAACGTTGCAGGTTACACGATGATGACCTATTTTTGGAACGTTGAGCGTCAATAATCAATAATACCCAAATATTCGCCATTCCTTCAGCCGATGGACTTACGTCTGACGCGGCGTGATTCAGTTCCTGGAGGTTGTCCAATGCAATGGGATAACACCTACAAAACACCGTGACAGTTAGAACATATGTACTTGATAAACTAGCAAACCTCGTCACTGAAGCTGTTTCGAAGATCAAGAAGTCGAGACAAGTAAGTATATCCTCAAACAAAACAGGAATCATCATACATGCTTTCGTATCCTAATTTCGAGCCAACGAAAAGGCAAATAGAGCACCGCGCTCACCCCAAACGCAACCTCAAACCCAATGTCCCCCGTCGTTTTTGCAATGGGGCCCGTGAACCACACCTGCCTAATGCACGGAACCGCGAGTCCCAACGAGGCCGCCAACGCGCCCAGAGCAGCTATACCCGAAGGCAGTTTGAGTGGCACGTTCCAGACATTGATGTCGTATTGCCCAGCATCATTGTGTCGAAATACCAGATGTTCCAGCATCGTAATGGCAACGTACGAGCCTGGCCAATACCCAATGAGCCCAAGGAAGTTGGTGAGCGCATCGTAGAACCTGTGTGCTCCAACAATCGACAAGGGTATCACACTAATAATTGAGTCAATTTCGGAAATGCGAAGAAGGATGAAGACACATACATAGCAGTTGCAACCACCGAGAAAACATATCGAGGAACGATAATCAAAGTGGGGATGAAGGTCTGACTATTCAGCGTCAACGAATAGAACGACGCTGCGATGTTTCCGGCTACGGAAAGGCTCAGGAGCACGGCGAGAAACTTGCCAAACCCTCCAACGGGCTGGAGCATGGCTGCCAAGAGACCACCAATGTTTTCACCTACATATCCCTGTTCCCAAGATGGGACGGAAGGGACTGCAACGACCACAGCGGCGCCAAAGCATTCCAGGACGACCTGCATGAAGTGTAAGCACAGCCAAGTATACGTCAGAGAAAAGACATACAATAGGTAGTAAGAGGCCTATGAAGGAGTACCAGAATATCCTCCATCTATCAAAGTATAAACACATTTTCAACAACGGAAGATTTTAACAACCTACCCGTTAACACTTGACACGTAATAATTTGTGAAATCAGCACTGAGACTGGAAAACGAAAGAGAAAAGCCAGCAAGGGTTGCCCCAAAGCTCAGAACGCCCACAACCGTCGCAGGCTCTGCAGGGGGGGGATGTAGGAGATGCTTGCCTCCCACTCCAAGGGAGATGATAAACGTGAGGAGCACCGGGAACCACGACACTTTCTCGTACCTATTAGCTGTGAGCTAGCCGTACCTACTTGAAGTAAGGCAGGTTGAAGACGCACCAGTTCAGAATCCCGTAACCGCAGAACGAGACGAACAGTGAGATGACGGCTATAACGACAATTCCTACCCTGATTACCAACGTCGTGAGGGTTCGTATCCTCAATCGAAGAAATAGCTTACGCCCAGCTGAGACTCCCATTGCCTGCACTCGCCAAAGCCTGACCGCCAAGGATGCAATTGAGGACAGAAAACCCGATCAAGCCGATGAGGTTGATGATGCAGGGTATAATAACTCCGTAGTACCTACCACGGCAGTCAGGATCTGGTTAACTGTAGAAGAAAAGCGTGCACGTACCCAAAGGAATACCGCGAAATGATCATTTGCCTCATCCCAAGTTTGGGACCCCAAGTCGCCCTTGAAAGATACCGTATCAAGATTAACGTCTGAGAAAGGAAATGCAACTTCAAAGGTACCCACATGTAAGCAGGCGGCCCACAACAAATGATGTTGAAAAAGAGGATCGACAAACACGAGTCGCGCAATCCAAGGCCAAAGATGGCAGGACCCAACGTCCCAGTCGAGAATCTGCCCAGTGTTCGTCAGTACCCCCATTCTCACGTTGAGATGAACTTGAAAGGAAGACCCACGTAAGGATGTTCACGTTGAACGAAACCCAGAGGTAAAAGACCTTGATGAACTGGGTGTCGGTACGTTGTGCCTCGGGTACCGGTTGCACGCCTAGGACACTATAGCTGAGAACGCCATAGGAGTAACATCACAAACAGAATTTGACGTACCCCGAGATTCCACTCCATACCTCATCAGCCTCTTAGTCCAGCGGTCTTTGTATGGCGAGGAGGTATCGTCGTTCAAAGATTGCCTCACCGTCTCGGATAGCCACATTCCATCTACCTCGTCAACGACTCCATGTTGCTGCTCAGCTTTCGACATGCTGAGCAACTAGATGGAAGGAAGAGAAATCGTTTGACAACCGAGGGCCGTTACTGGATGAAATTTGATTCCATCCTTCGTCTTCTGGGTTTGGAGCTACCGATAATCACCCGATATATATACGTTCTTGCGGAGAAAGAGCCTTTCCAGCGGTTCGCCTGCGCTTTTGCAGGTCTCATGCAGCAGTCTTTGAGCTCCAGATCTCGGGTATTTCCAGTAGCTTCAAGCCCGGCCAAAAGGTGATACGTGGAAAGGGGGAAGCTGTTGCAAGTTGCTGGTGCGTTTACCCACAGGTTCTGAGCATCCAGTACTGGAGTAAAAAGAGGCAGCTTCGAAAAAAACGACACGAGACACGTAGAATGTTACATACGTTGCCAAGCCCTGAGCTTCAAAGGAAAATCTGCAAAGCCGAAAAGAACTGCGGGCACAGCACCGCAGCTTCTAATGAAAACTTGGTGGTTCTTTCGGAGGATAAATGGAGGCCTCGAGTTTTAAAACCAAAGGAAGCAAAAGGAGAACTGTAGGCACCTGAAGATTTGTTCAGTTTGGCGAAACTTTGCTGAACCTTCGCAGAGTTAAAACACACCCGCGGCAGAGTCATGGGTGCTGGAAGAACAGGGTTTCTTGTCCGCCATTGTGACCCCTCAAGAAGAGTTGGAGCGTCTTTCGATTCTTCGGAGAATCCGATCGACCTGCCAGATGACGGTGGTTGTGCGCAAAATCACTGGTCACCATCATTTGACCCTAGGTCACCTCACATGACGTGACAAACGCGTCAACACTGCAAAACAACTTTGAAATTCCTTGAATTTTAAGAAATACAAACTTCATGAATGTTGTCTGGGGCCGACGCTAAAGACGCAATTTAGGACGCTCAATACAAATTTTAGTTAGCCAACGTCATGCTCGGGATATAAGGTTTCCAGCACCGAAATTTGACAGATACATTCTTCCTGACCTTTGCTATGGTGCACTGTGATACGGGCGTAATGGTACGACTCTTTTAACAGTGTCGATAAATCGAGAATATAGTAGGTAACGTCCAGGAAAACACAGGTTACGACTTGACGGGGTTCTGCGAAGTGTCCTGATGGTTTCATCGAGGGAGTGAGGTTTTGCATCCTTCGAAGGCTGAAGGCATTCCAGTGGTACGTGGTCATTGCGAAAATGACCACGGAGAGAACAGAAAAAATCTGAAAATGGCAGATACCAAGGAAAAGATAATCAAAGAAGTCAAAAAGCCGGATATTCTGTGAACACACTGTCCTCAACGATAATCAGCTCAAGCCAAGAGTGCAGTACATTGTCGACGGTAGATGGTCGACTTCAGCGATGTTGAGCAGAACCCTGAGCATACTACCCGTCACCATTGAGTGTTCTCCTATGGCATATGTGCTGCGCCCATAATGAAATGTCGCACGACAAGACTCCGATTGAACACCTGACTAAAAAAACGTGTATCATTTGGCAGGTACAAAGATGGCGGACAGCTCGGATAGCCATGAAGCTCTACAACATTCGTGAGTATACGTAAGTCCGATAGACGCCCATTACCCTGCTTCTTCTCCATTGATTGCCCAAGCGTTTGTGAAATTTCTTGGAAATTTCCAAGAAAAGTGAGTCCGTTCTATTAAAACTCCAAAACGTACGGACAAGGGGACGTTCTTTAGGACAGCCCCGAGTAAAAATAGAAAAAGCAGAGCTTGAGGACGAAGTAGTACAGCCTGAAGAGAAGCACGTTGCTGCACCGGATGTCGATTGAGGCGTTATGAAGCGCGCAACAGCTTTTGATTGTTTATGTATGATTTCCCGGCTTCCGATTATTCCTTGCTCTTAACCATCATCATCTACCATGGCTCCCCTGCACCAGCCACAAGACAAACAGAGAGAAAAGGCAAGTGATGCTATTCGAGTGGCGTGGAACGCATTCCAAAAAGAAACTTGGGAAAACCGAGGCAAGGGGAACGGCAGAAATTACGTTCAAATGAGTCCCAGAGAGCGGGAGATCATTTTCCGCGAGGATGCACGACGAAGATGGCGCAGTTTCCTCAAAGACCATCGAATGGATGCTGGGGCATGGATAATGACGGACACGGATGAGGAGGAGGTTGGCGTTCTCCTCGGCTGGAACCGGGACCAAATGGTCGATGCTTGCGAGGAGGAATGGGGCATCTTTGTGGTCAGTGCAGCTTTGTATATGTGCTTGCACAGGGCTGACACTTTTCAGAACCCGGCGAAGTTGAAGCCGGACATGGCTCAAAGCTTTTCTGGACCACCTACGCAGAGCATTCCCGGACCACCCTGGGTAGGGCGAACACAAACAATTGTGCAGTCTCAACTCCCTACGCGGCAGTCGCAACTCCAAGATTTGCATGCCCCACAACCATATGCACAGCCTAGCGGGATTAAGTTTCCAGAACATCCTGTGCATGCACAAGCTCAGCGACCAATTGTGCAACCCCGACCTCCATCCGCCCGGATTTCGCAACCTCGAGATTCGCATGCCTCACATGCATATATTTGGCAAAGTGGTGTTCAACATTCCGCACCTGGACAAGCTCCCCGACCTGCATCTGCCCGGCGTTCGCATTTCCAAGATTTACGTGCCTCAGAAGTATATACATGGCCCAGCAGTGTTAAACTTTCAAAATATCCCGTGCATGGCCAAGCACGACTTCCCCGACATTCACTTGGTCCATCACAAATGACACAATCACGACCTTCGAGTGTCCAATCATCGCGCGTCCCACCACCTCGCCAATCACGAACTTACAGCGATGAAGGGGAAAGTGATACCAGTGGCGACGATGACGACGAAGAAGAGGAAGGTGATATTAGTGACGGTGGAGAGACGAGCGGCGGGGATGACGACGAAGAGGGGGAGGATAGCGATGATTACGATGAAGAGGTGGATAGCGACAATCCCATCGAAGAGGACGACGAAGAAGAAAGGACCAACGGAGTCAACAACAGCACATCGGGTACCCCATTCTCGCGCACTGAACCATTTTTCGGTGAGGTGAGTTGGGCCGAATTGAAGGCGAAATCTCCCGAAACAGCCTTGTTTGCCGAGCAGTCTGCGTATGCATGGGCGCAAAAGTGTCATAGAAAGGCGACACGAAACAACAGATCGATCGCTAAATACCGGCTCGCTGGGCTTGCGAAGATGGGGGTGGAAGAATTGTTGATCCTTGACGTACAAGAATATGGTCGAATGGCCCACGAAAAATGGGTTAATGCGGTCAATGCAGAGTGGGAACGGAACTTGGGGCGGGCTCAACGTGTCCCAGAGCAGACAGCGGTGCAGAATGCATCCAATATTCAACATGCTGGGGAGCCATTGGGGGCCAGGGAAGGACCGCAAGATAACTTCCGTTCCGGTCAAGTGAGAGATTCGAGAGCCTCGTCAAACCCAAAGACGAAAGACGGCAGGGGCGGACGCGTGCCCAAAGACATCTTCAAGCATTTGGAGTCGTTCGTTAGAAAGCGCAATGTGGCTGGTGACGAAGGTGAATCTGGACCCACACATCCTGATGGGCGACCAACTCCCAAAGAATCGCCCCTGACACTGGAGACAATCAGCCAACTAGATCCAGTCATCGGCGAGACCTCGCTTCTGCCACCCCCAGCCATGCATCGCAACAACACTCCGGTGCCTTCCGGGTCCCATCCCATGCACACCAAGCTAGATCCAGTTATTGGTGAGACCTCACATCGGCCACCCTTGACCATGCATCGTAGCGGCACTCCAGTGCACTTTAGGTCCCATCCCATGCACACATCGTCCGCAATGTGGTACGACATTGATGAAGAAGCTATCGCACCCAAGGAGAAAACCGAATTGAAGCCCTGGGATTCCGTACCTCACGAATATGAGCGAACTGAGCCTCACAATGTTATCAACAGCGTGAGGTCATCCGCGTTCATGCTGGCCGAAGAAGGCGGAGAACAATATCGCCAGGATGATGAAGAGACGTCTTATAATGAGGGTGAAAGCGATTGGGACAGTGTCATCAGTTCAGAAAGCTCCATAAATATGACAGAAGCTTCTGCCCACTTTACGAGATCTGATCAACCACGGCCAAGCAATATTGAACAATCCGCGCCAAGGACGGTGAATGCAGGAGGACCAAACCCGGATCAGCCAAGCGTCCAGCGTTCTGCGTGGCGAACGACACAATCCATCCCTAAATCCATGATGCCAGCCGATATTCGTTCAAAGAGTTCTACCACCAGCACGACGGCCGCTGGTCAACAAAATCCCTGGATTAGCAGCCAATACACCCTGGCAGGGGCACTAGATGGCGGAATTAATCGACCTGGCGCCCAACGAACAGTACGGATGATGCAAGGCCTTCAGAGGTTTGGGATGTTTTGGGGGAGTCCTGGATTTAACAACGGCGATAGCAATGGGAGAGGGTGAAAGGATAACTAACGAAAGCAGCAGATGATCCCGTTACACTCGACAACTGGTCAACCTGAGCGCTAGCAGGAGGGAGACGAGATCCTGCATGGCGTCAACATCAAAGGGCTCCTTCCTATCGATGTAGTAACAGGAGCCTTAGAACATCTGGGCTGAAATTGCGCCGTCGAGAACGCGAGAGAATAGACAGGAAGATTGGCAAGTCCATAGTGGGGGGGGAGGATGTTAATGGTGTGGAATCCACCTGAGTCCCACGAGGTGAACATATACCATATCGATGTTGTAAAATGATAGCCACGTGTACAATCGTTTCGGAAGGATTATGAATCTTGTTATTTGACGAATATACAAATATTTTTTCTGTCCACAGCAGCTTCAGTTAACACCTGGGATTTCCTTGGGAGGAATAGTACGTGAACGAAGCGGCGAGTGGTGTCATGCGTCTGACGTAGCTGTCCTAATCGACCGGCTTAAACAAGTCGTTGTCGTCGAAAAGACGTCCAACTTTCAAGTTTTGGTAAGCCCCCCGCAACAGAGTTCGCGTACATCTTGACGACTTTCCTCGAGAAACGAGGGGAAGCCATTCGGAGATGTCTCAAAGTCCATTTTCCAAGTGCCTCTTCGTCAAGATCTGCACGGAAGTATGCCTTTAAGCACGATCAAGTCAGCCAAAATTTAAAATTTAAATTGAGAAAATATGCAAGACTAACAATTGGATTAGCTCGCACTTTCTCTGGGTCCCTTTCTTCTGTATGCAGTTCCACGTGCCAGAACGTCAGATAAAGCCATTGAAGGCTCTCGAAGTTCCTCGCAAGTTGGGTGAGGAGACGAGAGTCAAGAAGAGGCACCTCGAGGTGCAAGCACTTGATCGTGTTTTGGCATTCCAAAAAGTGGAGCAAGGTCTCGTAGTCGTAATCCTTGTAAGTAAGAGACACGTCGTAACGCAGGTCAAGCTTGGTTACTGTACCAAACGATCAAAGCCACTGGACGGCGCCATTGTAGTGAGAAGGCAGTAGTCTACGCCCGAAGGCCAACGTGCGCAAGTTTGGGAAGGGACAAAGAGGAAGGTCCTGACGGATCCAGGACAGCACGCTGTTTTCCTCGGCTGGTGTGTATCTGGTGCGTAAGCAGAGATCCTGAAGACTGCTGCCAATGGATTCTACCAAGGATCGCAGTTTGGAGGATGGTATTGAATGAAATGGTAAAGCCATTCTGAGATCACGGGGGTGAGCAATGCGGCTCAATGCCTCTAGGAGAGGATCAAAGATTTCTGTAGGATCCAGGGGCTTTGGAAGGACCAGCGCTACCGATTGAAGGGTGTTTGCATGGGTGGTAATGAAGGCTGCTAAATGCTTGAGAAGTGGCGTTGGGGTTGAATCCAGGGTGCAACTGCCTGGTTCCTCCAATGTGACATCAAAATGTATGAGGTTCGGAAGCGTAAGTTCCAACGGAAGAAACGATAGGACGAAGACATGTGTTCCCGAGATCTTCAGTTTGAGAAGACTTGTGCGCGAAGAGTCGAGGATGGCTCTGACGAGAGGGAAAAGCGTGTCTGAATCCGAATCGATGGTCAACTCTGCAATATCATTGAAACCTCGCACTACGCTGACCATATTTGCAATGACGTCGCCAGAGCTTATCCCTTGCTTGAAGTATCCTCGGGCGTTCCTCATTCGCAGTAAGGGATTCTCCGGTTTAGCCCACCGTCCCCGCGGCTCAAACAATTCTTCAGCCAAGGAAGGCCCCAGGACGAGTGAACGAACACGTTTAACAACGAACGGGTCTCTATTTAGAGAGTCTGACTATGAGTTGAACCAGTGTCAGGAGCAAGCTGAGTAGTACCTGAGACGAACAAGATTTTGTACAAGCCGTTTGTCAAAAAATCGTTTGGTACCGAATGTTCATGGAGGCCAAGACCAGCGGCCTGTTGACATCATATAAAGCACATAGTCTCCTCGCTGGAATGTGAGAGGCAATGACCTGCCAGACGTCGTATGGCAAATCTTGCATGACAAATGTTTGACAGCGAAAAAGTTGGAATAAATGGTTTCCTCAACTTGACGCTCCAATGGCAGTGATGTCCACCTTTTGAAGGGAGCCTTGGCTCGAGTACCGCAATGAGACTATAAGAAGGCCTTAATAGCGAGTTGAAAATTCAACAAGGGAAGGGATGTTGCACGTGACTCCACTCTCCCTAAAACTCTGCCGCGATGCAAGTTACAGGACTACCATGATGCCGCTGAACAAAGATCTCGCGACAGCGCTTCAGCTTCCTGTAGGCTCTGACGACGAGGTACTGTCCGTGTTATAGATCTCATAAACATCTTGACAGAACTGCAGGCAGCGAGCACAGCGATAATAGCTCTACTCACATCTGCTGCACACGATGCCAAACCAAAGTACTCTCTTTCGGAGATACACCATCTTATATCCAAGTCGGGATGTTCAGATCTCCTCGTACGTTGTCTGATCTAACACGTTATATTGAATGTTGAAACAGAATTACAGGATCCGCTGAATTCGATTCCACTGCTTCTATCGTGCGATGACCCAGTCGCGGGGGAGTTGTTATCTCTGATCGGAGAATGCTGCTCCGCGAAAGAGGTTGTTATCTCCGTTCAGGAAGCAGTTGAGAGGCTGGAGGTATCACTCAACGCTGACGATGATGGATTTGAAGAAGTAGAGCAAGAAATACCTCGACAGGCGGCCTCCTCGCCTGTAGTTCGCCTTTCTATTCTCACTGGGCTATACGCTGCTTGTGAGCTCTTTTTCTTTTTGATTCATGGGAAAGCAACTGATGACAACACAGCGATCCCAAGGCTGAAGTTGCGAAAGAAAACAGCTCCGGACACTCTTCGACCTTTACTTACTGAGCTAGAAACCGTGAATCTTATGGCTGGGTCCACGGCGTCCACTGAAGAAGGCCGAGCACTTATTTCTGCGACGGCGTCATTGGTGAAAAGGGCTGCTCAGTGGGTCAAGGGCATTCCGGACGCCAAAGAGGAAGACGCCTTAGGATGCACTGTATGTATCATCGAAATAGACTGCCTTTTCAAAGAACTCAGTTACTTTTTCTAGCAACTCATGAAAAATCTCTTAGACCAAACTTTGACTGCTTATGCTCACTGTATCCGCTCATCCGTGGCACAGAGAACATTTGAACAATGTTTCCCTCGACTAACAGTCAAAACTTCAGTTGGTGCGGGGTGGGAAGAGGGAGAGAAAGTCATTTTAGAAGCTCTCGTATGCGTTGTGTCCATTATCTCGGCTTCATTCAACTAATCAAAATGACAGGACGCGTACACCTTTCTTGGGTGCACATTCAAAGAACTCACATCAGCACCAACGACGGCCACCCTGGTTGTCGTAGCGTATCATCAGACCGGTTTTCCAGACTCAAATAACGACCTTGCGCCCATCCTCCCCATTCTTATCTCCTCTATCCAAATCAACTCCGCCCTCGACGAATGCTTATCGATTCTGCTCAAGTTCCTTCACCGCATACGAGCGTCACCCGTATCTCCACCACCCACACTCTCTCCAGAAATTGTAACGCCTCTATGTACTATCCTACCTACCATCGCCAGTGCCCACCCTGACCCACTCGTCAGACATCAAGCATTCCGAATCATCTCCTCTCTCCTCACACTCACCCAACCCGATTTAAGGATTCAGCTCCTCGCAGACCTTACTGGGGATTCGCAGCTGCCGCAGATGCGCGTTGCGGCCGTGGGTCTCGTTAAAGAAGCAATCATAGAGTCACTCTCCTCCACGAAACCAAACCCTTTCGCATCCCCACTCTTCCTGCGTGTCTTTGGCCCTATACTATTTAGGCCCGATCCTCCAGATTTGTTCAGTGGGAGCAAGGAACTTTCACTGAGTAGCTTCCAAGAATCAAGCGAACCTCAGCGGTTGATAGAATGCTTAGCGCTCTATTACGTCCTTCTCCAGCGCGATCACCAGAATCTGGTTCGTTGTCTCCGCTTACCTCTCTTGATGCGTGCTGAAAGTATGATTCTTGTTCAGACGGGCATACGTGATAAAGATGTCTTATCAAGTGTAGAGAGCAGTCTTTTGGAACCATTACGTTCGATCTTGGCAAAATGGATGAGCCATCCGTCTGTTTCTGGAAGTAAGCCTTCGACCGGAACAGATTCTTGGGCCCGTCTGAATGCTCATCTCAGGTCATATGCATGCTATAATGCCCCTGGTGTCTCTTCAGATGGGTCTTGAGAGGGTAGACGCTGCCATAGCCCAACTCCGATCTCCCAGAACTTAGAGCATGCTACATACGAGGAACGTTCCTCCATACCGTATCTAATCTGATGAGATTAAATCTAAATAAAAAGTGAAAAAATCTATTTTCGCCGAATGCTACCCTATTTATCGCTCAAGTCATATCGCATGCTCCGCTCCTACACCATTCTCCCCATCCCCCATCGTCATGTTCCTCGACGAGAAGGAAGACGTGGAAAAAGAAGGCGGTACATGGCAGCCTGTGACGGCGATAGCGTCGCTGCCGAGCAATACTTCTCCTCTGTACACGGACCGCTGGACTAGAAAACTCTTATCATATGGGGTGGAATCGCGGGGTACGTCTTTACTGCACGTCTTTCCTTTGGAGTATGAAGTTTGGTTGTAGGGATTCAACCAGTGCCGGTGGAGGAACGCACAGATACCCAGTTCAGCAAAATCTTTTTCCTCTGGTTTTCGTGGAACGTCAATATCCTTACGTGAGTCATTCGTTGCGTACGGTAACGGAGTTTTGACAGAGTGATGGCTAGGTTCTCCGCTGGAACGTTGGGCCCTGCTATCTTCGGGCTTGGACTACGCGACTCGTGTCTGACCATCTTGTTTTTCAACATCATATGTTGTGCGCCGCCCGCCTACTTGTACGTCATTCGTCTACTCCTGGCATTTGGAGGCTCACGCGACAGTTAAGAGCGACATGGGGTCCTAAACTTGGGATGCGGCAGATGGTCATATCGCGATATTCTTTTGGGTATGTGGGCTTGGGGTGCAGGATCGATTCACCATTTCCTGACCATCAATGACAGATACTACGGAATCATCATACCCTGCATTCTCAATCTTGTGAACATGTGTGGGTTCTCTATCCTCAACTGCATTCTTGGTGGGCAGGCTCTCGCAAGTGCAGGGAATGGGAACCTCAGCTGGACGTGAGCACCTTTATCTCCCCCTTCAGATCAGAAGTCACAGCATCTTGAATTTAGAGTGGGCATCGTTGTGATTGCTATCATCTCACTGCTGGTGTCGTTCTGTGGATACGAAGTTCTGAACTGGTAAGCCCAAGCTCATTCTTTACCTATGAATTCTAATGTCAATTAGGTACGAGAAAGTGTCATGGGTCCCAGTACTGATTACGTTCATTATTGCCCTTGGAGTGGGAGGCAAACATTTGTCTAATCCTCCACTTGTGGAACCTGCAACGGCAGCTGGTGTCCTTGGTTTCGCGGGCACCCTTGCTGGCTTTGCCATCACATTCTCGAGCCTAAGCTCCGATTTTACGACTTACTATCGGCCGGATGTCTCTGGGTAAGCTATTGCCGTGATCGCATGTTATTTGAGCTACACTGACATATCGTTAGGTGGAGGATATTTGGGTACTCTTTTGCGGGGCTCTTATTACCTATTGTGCGTTACCATCGTGCGTCTTCGTTCGCTTACGCTCAATCATCCCCCGCAGGTCACCCTTCAGTGCCTTGGTGCTGCAGTAGTTATTGCAGCTCCTTCTATCCCAGCTTGGGAACAAGGATATGCAGGCGGAAACATTGGCGGCCTCTTGGAGGCCATAGTCCGCCCCACCGGAGGATTCGGAAAGTTCCTCGCAGTGCTGCTGAGTCTTTCAGTGGCAGGCAACATCGCAGCAACATTTTACTCGATATCGCTGAACATCCAGATCTTTATTCCTCCCCTGGTTGTAGTTCCTCGATATGTATTCTCGCTAGTTGCTACAGCGATGTAAGTGCTTCCAACCACCTTCTTCACAGAAACTTACATTCTCTTCTCAGAGTGATACCAATATCGATCGTAGGCGCACACAGGTTCTATGACACGATCATCAACTTCCTTGGGCTGATCGGGTACTGGGCCAGTGCGTTCATCGCTATTATCATTCTGGAGCATCTTGTGATCCGACACAACAACCCTGCGGAGTATGACCTCGATGACTGGGACGCACCAAGAAGGTTGCCTTCGGGCATCGCTGCTCTTGCTGCTGGGATAGCTTCGTTCGGACTTGTTATCCCTTGTATGAGCCAGGTGTGGTTTACGGGCCCGATCGCCAAAACGACGGGGGATATTGGCTTTGAGGTTGCGTTTGGGGTCAGTGCGGTACTATACCTTCCTTTTCGTCTGCTTGAGATTAGAATACTGGGGCATGTGTGATATATATGTGCAAGACATGCCTGCGCCTATTCACCGTCAATTTTAAGGGTTTTCAGCGAGATTTTGCAATTGCACATGGACTTCACGTTGTCAAAATGCTCCAAGTTGTCGCGGACGAAAACGTTTGTCCTTTTAGATTTACATGTTACGGTGCAACATCACCCAGTAAAGGTCGCCACTGGGTCTAACCTCATTGGCCCGCAGGCTCCGGAATGCGTCAGCTTCATTCAACCTCATATACGAAAGATAAATACACGGTTGAACAACTGAAAAAGCTGAGTTCTCGTACATGGCGCGGGCCAGCTTAAAAACAATGTAAAGGGCGGGATTCACGGTGTATCATAATGCCAGGCGGTGAAAAAAACTGTTTTGCGCTGAGAAACTCTTTCAATTCTTCGGAACGTGACCCTTGTACTGGTCATCCACTACTTTTGCACACATGTTCCTACGTATCGTCCTCCCGCCACCAATGGGTTCCCAGCCTAACGGCGTGTTTGAGTTGCTGTCCGAACACCGTTTGTTCCTCGTCAAAAGGTTGTCCTAGTAGTAATCGGGCCCTATCATATTTTGATGATTACGGCGCAGGGCGGGTGGGCCATGGCTCCTAGGGGGCTGGGGTCAAAGACGGGGAGCGACTTGAATGGGGAGGGGACGTTCATGTCGTTTGTAATGGCGAAATTGGCTCCTTTCAGCTTCAAGTAGTTTTGCACACAACCATGCAAGTCGATTGGGTCGAAGATTTGATGGACTCTGCTGCGGATGCTAGTAAGGAAGGACGCTATGATCGTTTCTTGTCGGAGGGTACTATGTTTTTTGTGGTGGTTGGTGGGTTGTCGAGGAGGTTTGGTGATGATTCGTTGGCTTTTGCCCAGTTTGTGGCGTTTTAGAGGTAGGGGTAGAGAGCGGCAAGGCCGAGAGGGAGGAAGAGGTTGAATACACGGCTGCGGCGCATGCAGGTTTCTTTTGGTGGGAGTTGAAAGGGTTCTTTCAGAGTCAGAGTCTGCGTCCAGGTCTGTCGCGTTTATTGGCATCCAATATGGTCAAATATGAAAAGTCAACTCGTGCCTGTCAAAGAAGGTGAGTTGGGCCGTGAATGACGACGACAACGATGGGCTCACCAGTTCGGTAAGTTTGGCACCATCAACTCCGATATTAGCCTCTCAGCTCATTTCACAACGATGACGAGCCTCCAATATGCATGGTGAACGGCACATAAGCCGTGCAGAAATCCGTCAAAGGTGCATATCGACAACCAGGTCTATAGATTCGTTAGCTACCGCCATGATGGGAACAAAGAGAGCCATACTCGGGAAGTCTCCACAATAAGATGTCAACCGATGAATCAAAAGCCGTCTGACCTCACGTTGATAAGTTTTGAAGACCACGACCCTCCCTTTGCCTGTGAGTGCTCTTTCGAGCATCGTTGTCACTTATGAGCATCGAAGACCTCGACAAAACTCATCCTCCCAGCACAGTTCACTGGTAAGGTCTGAGCCCAATCGGAACCTTCAATGACGACTGTAAACGAGCTGAGCTGCTACACGATAGATTGCGTCGTGAAAGACAGTTCAGAGGTGGGGTATGTACACCTTTCCGCAGCCATGACTGAAGGTGGAAGACGCTTCCTTAGGTTTTGAAAGGGAATACTTTGGGCATAGGGACGTCAATTCTGGGATCACAGTTATGTAGAGAGGGTCTAAGTCCTTGTGAGCGTGCGTCCCAGCGCCTTCAAGAGAGACGACTGACAGGATGTGGGTATGACCAGGGCAGAGGTACCCGGAGACGATGGAAACGAGTCGACGATACGGTGATCAAGATTCAAGAAATGCGGTCAAATTGCGCTGATAGGGCATTTCGGATGAGACAGCTGAGTGGGAGAAGGACAGATGGATTGGCGTGGATTGTGATGCTCCGGAGAGACTTGACAGGTAAGATCTGCTGAGTTTGAGGGTCGACATCCATAGGTGGGGACATAGATGTCCGCGGGACCGTCGAGATCGTCTTCTTGCGTCTCCTGTGCCACTAACAAACTCAATCCGCTCGCCAACGCCGCATTCGTTCACGTTGCCCACGAATTGTGGTGATAGTCGAGGAGCGCCAATTCAATTTCGACATCGAGCGAGCCTCTCCAGTCCGTTCGCACTGCAAATTCACTCCAGCTCGAAGACATCTGGGCGGTAGTATCCGCTACACGGTGGCGACTCTCCATCCCATCCACATGATTTCCAACCAACGAGTCCGAGGCTCGTTGAAGTTCCAATCCCTTGAAAAGACGGGTAACAAAGGGAACTGGCCGTCTATCTGAGAAACGCAAACCGCGGAAATGCCAGAGCGCAGTGGGCGCCTGCCTGAGGATTCCGGGGTGGGCGACAGGCGAGATATATAGGACCGAGGTTGGGTTAGGGAAGGGGGAGTTTTTGAGCCATCGTTGGGGGGATGGTGATGGAAGAAGAGCTGGAGGTTGAACGTTGAACGTTGAGGAGCGGATGAGGGGATGGAGGGAAGCTTGGACAGTGCTTTGCCTTTTGCTCGTACATTTCGCGGAAGAAAGATAGGTAATTTGAGGCAATGGACGAGGCGGTTGTGAGATGGATGGAGCTGGACGGCTGCTAATGGGATGAGGGACAGATGTCGGTTGAAGAAGACAGATATTGATAGAAAGTCTTACACAGGAATTGTGACCTTGTCCGGGCGAACTCTGAAAATGTGGGCTGGCTGACCATGTCTGTGGAGAATAGCGGATACGGACACTGAGTTTGAAAAATATTTTATGTAATCGTCACATGATCGCTGCAATTGCTTGAACCATCGTCGCTCATCGTCGCTATCGTCTCTCTCAACCACGACGGACTCAGATTCTCAACCGGGACACGTCGAAAAACTAGGGAAACATCCCCCAACTTGTTTGGGAGCACCCGGAAAGTCAGAAGGCATGTAAGTCTTACATATTTCTTTCCTTGCACCGTTGCTAGTGCAACCGACATCTGAACAGATCACGGTTTGGACAGGAACTTACGCTGGTCATGGAGAATAGCATTGGAAACCCTCAGGTGTGTAAGCTATCTTTGTGATCTATTCAACATACTCACATTCCTTCAATCAAATCATAGATTCTCGTGGAAATCCCCCATCTCTGGTCCCAATGAGCATTCCAACCTCCCCTGCTGACCATCACATGCTTTCAGCAGCGAACGCCATACCCTCTGGCTCACCTTTTGCTTCGCACGCATCTTCCACGGCTTATCCAAGCCCTCTTTCAGCCACCACCCCATCGGCCGCTTCGCGTACACCTCAAACAGCCCATCTCAGACCTCCCGAGGTGGCTGTTTCATCCGCCAGCTCATCGACTGCCCTCCAACAATATCTTCTCTTCCGCAACGTAAACACGGCCGCCCAAAAGGGAGCGCGAAAATTAAGCCAGTGACCATAAACCAGTGGCGACCACAATGACAAATGAGGATGCTATTTGTCACCGTCGTCATCGTAGTGAGTCCCCCGCCATCCCACCTCTTCCCTGCCACCCACCTAACATGTCACCACCACCAGACAAATGACGGCGGCCACGGCCACGTCACCCCTCCCCAGCAACAATCGACCACGGACAACCACGAACGATCACAACATGAAAACACAACCACGCAACAACCACGGCAGAACAACAGCACACGACGAGACACGACCATTACCAAACAAGCAAGGTCCACGTCGCCGTGAGCAACATCACAACCTACCATGGACGAACCACGACGAGGACACTGATGACGAGGGACGGTGAAGATGACCTGGCATGTCAATGGACGTGCCATGACATCCAGACTGTGATGATGCATGTCGTCGTCACTGTCCACGTCAATCCAGGTGAGCAAGATGGCTCCTCTCCCCACCTTTTCTCATGAGAAGCAGGGCACGTCGGCGGCATGCCCTGCTTCATGGTAGTCATTTAGCTATTTGTTACCGTGTTTCTATGTGTAGAATACCATTCTCAATGATCATTTCTTTGAACTATTCTTAAATTTTACAGAAAAAATGTGCAGGGATTGAACTTGCATTGGAATTCTGTTGTAACTCATGAACTATGTGACCTGTCCTGGAGGAACAGATCTAAAACTTGTTCTATCTTATCAGAGATCTGACTGTTCCTTTTGTGTAATCTAAGTGAGTATCCAGCTTATATAACACGAAATAAATCCAAAAGGAGGAAACAAACCCTGATGACCTCACAAAACTAAGCGAGTATCCAATATCCCGATTTACCCTGCTTTCCTACAGCTCGTAAACACCCACAGGACACACTGCCGCAGCTCAGTGAGGTGTTCTGCAGGTTGCTTGCTTGTGTTGTTGCACACCATGTCGTTATTGTGAGGTTTGGGTCCTCCCTTCCTCCTCTTCCCTTTTTCTTTTTTCTTTTTCTTTTTTTTTTTTTTTTAGCCCACAAACACTGGTATCCGGCCAAAATGTGAACCCATGCTTCAATCGTCAAGGCCCTGCTAATGTTGGATTTCGCCCCAGAACGCTCGCACCCCCCACCGGAGAGGTGGATTTTTAAGACTGAGTATTTGAGGTGTGCTGGCGAGAAAGTGCAATCTCGCGTGTGGACAACAACGAATATTGTGATAAGATCAATCACGACTTGGTTCATCACAACCATCACTCTCCTAGCCAAAATGCTCACCATCTCTGCTCTACGTGCGCGTGAGGGCCCATTGTCTGGCCCTTCACACCATTTCTGGGAGGATAAGGCGTCGTCGAGTCACCTCGATGACATGGGTACGTACTCAGTACTCAGTACTCATTTCTCATCTGCTAACATTCTCATCGTAATTTTGTCAGTCCACAGAGTTGACCTGAAGTGACTATTTCAACGTCCCCATCTTTTTCTGGACAATATCTTCGCATAGGCTTTCAACTGCCTCTAACACGCTGCGATCCTGGGGTTTCCGATGTCGGTCATCTGCCACATGCTTCCTAAATCTCTTCCTCCCCTTTTGCCGCATTGTCATCATTGTTCAATGAAGGCAATGTCCACGATTTCCAGAAGCAACCTACAGGATGCTGTCGAGTGCGCGTATCTCAGATGTGTGGATGATCTTGATGGACCGATGAACAACAGTGAGGAATATTCTCTATTTCAGATCTGTCTTCCATTCATACACACATTATCTATTACCAAGGGCTGTGTGTATTGCAAGCTGCTTGCGGGCGTCCATTTCTCCTCAATGGTTCTCTACCATAACTCAAACACAGGTAAGGATCCTCTCTGCTTTTTGTCGCTTTCATCTAACCCTCCTCATAGTAAAAGCTTTTCGGGTTGTGAGATCAAGAAAAGGAGACACCATTCAAAGGTCGTCACCCAGCAAGCCTCACAACCCGGTGTACTGATGTGGCAGATAACCGTGGACAGGAGGGATCGTCGGACACTTGGAGGATGTAGGTTCATTCAATGTTAAAGTTTCAGCTGTTGCTGATGTGCCCTCAGGTCGGCAGAATTCAAGTTGGCTCGACAGTACCGTTCGGCGGGGACATGATCTCAAACATACCACGGGTTGTTCGAAGACTTGGCATCTCTTCCATTCTGCTCGTTTGCACACCACGTATATGGGCCTGGCCGTGGTCATCCAATTGATTTGGTTTTGGTAAATGAGATTTCATCTGTACCGCTCCTTTTCTATCTCTCACTAGTCCGATCTAGAGCTACCAGTTCCTCGAACCTGCAGGAGGTGATGTGTGGTGCTTGGGTCGGCGGTGGAACGGTGGACTGTCAGACACTTGGCATCCGAGAGAAGGGACAGAGGACGATCATATGGGTGACATACCATCACAGAGGCCAACTTTCGGTGGGTGTCAGATGTCGTCATGGGGCAGGGATTGCTAGGTGGGTGCAACTGGGTTTCGTCTGCATTGTGGAGCACTGTGGCTTCTCAGTAATGACGTGCTGCAGTGTGGTTTGGCTTCACCATAGGCCATACGTCTAGTGCTGTGGAAGGCCGTGGTCGGCTACCAAGATCGGTAGTCTCGAGTTCCTGTGGGTGGGGACAATGGTACAACAAAAAGGGAGTGTTAGTTCGAGCAGCAATTCTGTGGTCGTGTTTGGGTCGTGTCAGCCGGGGGTTGCACTGTACAGATCCGTGCTTTGGGAGAGAAACTGGCCTTCAATAGTAGGAGCGGTTAAGAAACCGTAGGAAGGAAACCTAGCTAGACCCATAATCCTGTCGCACTCTTGGTACATACTAAGTACTTGCAAGAAGACGTTTCAATATTTTGTTATGTTGTGATCACATGACTACAACACCCTCTCAATTAGACTCGCACTATGTCACAGCAGTCACAGGACGTTACAAGGCACATGATAAGAGAAGGGCGAGCTTGTGAGCAGACTGGAAACTCTTGTTGCCCTTTTGGTGGAGAGTCGATTTCCCCGCCAAACCAGAGGGGGTCACTTCAACAAATAAGCCTTCAATTTCAAAAAAAAAAACACCCCAAAGTTAGTATACGAAAGTTGACTTTTACAATGAGTAGAACAAAACAAGGGGGTACCAGCAATAGAATGCTGGACTGGTACCCAGTTAGTTAGTCCAAGGTCCAGTCCAAAAAAAAAAAAAAAGGAATCTTCAACAACTTAGTTCCCAAATCATCATAGAATGTCATATCAGTTTACTGTGACCCAGCCAGACTCCCACCTATGCTAACTAGTGTTGTAGAGTCCAAATAATAGTGGTTTCTGTTGTACATAATCGTGCTTATGCTATAATTATCTTATCACAAATCACAAAAATCTTTTTCAGATTTTCGACATGAAAATGGAACCAGTAGAACCTGCAATGCAATCTCAGGTAAGTAGTCAAGCATCTGTCAATCAGGTTACTTACTGGTCATCTTGACAGGGAAGTAATATGGTGCCAATGTCAGAGTTGGTTTTTGATGCTGACAGATGCACCGTATGTCCAGAGTGCAAAGTATGCATCCACTGCAGCAGTGTTGGGATCTTGAACCTCACAATACATCATATGGGTTTGAAAATCTGCTGTGAAACAAAAGCAAAACATGATAAGGATGACAAGAAGAAGAATTCTTCCATACTCACCTTTTTCAAATGACCGAAAGTGGCCCCTGTGCCTTCAAAAGCCATGCCTACAACCATAATCAGTAACTGTCAACTGACAAGTGGGGCAAGTTTAACCTCTTCCCCCCCCCCCAACATTCATAAAATGCTGCTCTCTGGATAGCCAGTCAGCAAACTCATTGCAAAATTCTGGTCTCTGATCAATAACCTACCAGAGAGTGTTTCTGAAGCGTTGGCTGATGATCCCCTTGCAATTTTTGAAGAAGACCCCAAGAGTTTTGATGACCTGAGCCTGGATGCTGAGGAACTCTGGGAGGTGAAGTTGAATGGGCTGCTGAAGGCAGTGTTGGGTTGGGGAGTGGATCAGAGCATGGATGGGATGATACAGTGAGGTCAGAAGGGTGTAGATGGCCTTGCAAAATTTGTGGAATACTTTATCATGAAGCATGGGGTGAGTGAAGCTTTATTCGAGGGAAAGCTGTTGCACCTGTTAGGAGAACTTGAGAAACTGTGAGTCTGATATACTTCGACTTTTTTTTGGGGTTTGGTACTCATCTCTATCTGTGGTGGTAGGCCATTGACTCATACCAATACCACCACAGTGCCTATGATATCTTCCAAACCTTCATCTATTGATATCACCCAATCTGACAGAATGGACATATCAACATTGCTCTGTCAAGGATCAGCTGCAGCCAGCACCAAAAATGCACAGTGCACCATCATCGACATTGATTCCTTTGAAGAGGAAAAATTTCCTGGCCAACTGTGCAACCAACAATTAACAACAACCTGTAAGGGGTTTAAACTTGACTTCCCACCTGGAGTATCTCTACATACTGCATATACATTTGCCCTTCACACCAAGCATGTACTCCCATGGGACTACAAAGTTGTACTGGGTTTTCTGAAGGCGACCATCAGCTTTGTTGTCCATGTCAACAGTTGATAAGAAATGGAACACTTGACGGAATTATCAGGCAGATGGATGAGGGTCTTCATAAAAACTCACCATTTGCATATTATGGTTTCAGTGGACTTCAGGAACTCCTTCAAAAGAAGAACCAACTATGGTGTTATCGGACCAGAAGAGGTTGCTGATGGCCAGAGGTCTTTACCCTCCCCCACGTAATCCATATGGACTCCAGTGGATTCCAGTGGCCCTCTTACCAGGCCAGATTGGCTGGCAGAATGCCCAGTCCACTGGAGTCCAGTCCAGTCCAGTCCAGTCCAGTCCACTGGACTCCCACTGGACTGCCAGCCACTTTTCAGAGTCCAGTCCCAGTCCAGTGGACTATGAGTCCAGTCAGAGTCCAGTGGAGTCCAGTGGATTCCAGTGGATTCCAGTCATTCCAGTATATTATTATTATTATATATGAATATAACTAAAAAAGCGAAAATGGACTATACAATAGACAAGCTATACCTACAATTTTATTAATCAATGAATGGAAAGATTATAATTTACATATAGTGTGGGTCAGTGATAGCTGCAATAAGGATTCATGATTTTGTTCAGTCTGCGGGGTGAGGTCACGTGACTTACTTGAGGGCGTGCCATATCATCACATCGCCTGTTTGTGGGATGGTCACACTGCCGTGACCATCCCTTTCCCTTCCACCACCACCACCATTCACATCTCAACACCGCCAATGATGCCCACACCCACGCTAACGACGCACACGACGCCCACGCCCACGCCCATGCTAACGACGCACATGATGCCCACGCTAATGACAACGACACCCCCAGCGCGGAACAATGGACCAAGGACGAGGGACAACGCCCATGACGTGGCAACGTCATGGGCAAGGGGTACATATGCCCCACCACCCCATTCCTCTGTTCTCACCACGACAGGCACGACGCCAGCAACCACCCATGCACGGCACATGAGGACGGCGACAACGACGACACATGGGCATGACAAAACGTGAGCACGACAACACGCAAGCATGATGATGACAACACGCGAAGCCGACCACACGAACGAGCGCCCACGGAAAACGGCCACCACCCACCACCGCCTGCTGCCACGTCACACGAAAACCAGCCACCGCCCATGAAAAACGACCCCCACCCACAAAAACGATGACGACACACAATGACAATGACGATGACTACACACCAGGATGACGACACACGACAATGACACACAACGACAATGACAACGACATGCCGGGACGACGACACACGACAACGACAACAAACGAGCGCCGACAAAAGCACCGCCCCCACCACACCTGAAAAACGATATGCCCACAAAAAACGACGAGCGCCCGCCAGCACTGAACAGCGACGAGGGCCTAGCAGCATCACCCTTCCCCTCCACTCTCTCCCCCCATCACTACCTCCTCTCTTCACCACTCCCACTCCC